ATGCCTGCATTTTGTAACAGCCCCAAATGTCACCCCTGGGAACACAGCAGCAACAGAGATGTGGAATTCAAATTTGAATTTGCAAAAAGGAGCAAGGACTGGTTTGTGTGCTCAGTCATCTTGCTGTGAAGTTGTCCAAAAAAAGTAGCAAGGGCAATTGACTGGTGGTGGATTTACTGATAGTTGTGTATTCCAGCTACTCAGCAAAATAACTTGCTAGGAAAAAAGTTGTAGGAATGTAAGAACAGGAGACAAAGATGTTGAAATGGAGCTTGTTGTATATAGTTGAGAAATCAAGCATGAGAGGATCATGTAAGAGGCTGATGGAACCCAATCGAGCACTTGTTCAATCAAGAAAAGTTCAGCTCTTCAGTTCTATGGAGTCAATGCATTTGAGTGAGGGCCTCCAGGTGGGAGGTTAACTTTGTAATTTGGCACTGGGCAATCTGGACCATGAATTTGTCTGCAATGTATGGCACAAGGGCTGAGGGCTTTGATCCTCCATGGGTCACTGAAAGCAGGTAAGTCATTTTGTAAAATATCATTCCCGCAGCCCTTCACTAAGTGTTGTACAGAATACCAGGCTTCCAGAACGTTGAATTAAAGCTGTAAATTTCAACTGTCAAAGCCGAAAGATGTTGGACCAGGCAGCATGTACCTTTATGACATTTTCTTATTACAAGCACTGAGATGCAATTGCTCACATGGGGCCTTAAATCAAATCGTGGGTGGAAGTTGTGACAGAAACACCCCAGCTCCCTGCCTTACCGCAGGCACCGACAAAATATGTGCAATTAACTGCATGGCCAAGGAGCTAGAAAGTGGCTATGCTTTGCTTTTGGATGGATTTTACCATCCCAAGTTTAACAAAGCACTTGTGTCTGACCAGTTGCAATATGGTCATTGATTTGTATTTTCCATAATCCGCAGTAGTCCTCAATAGCTGTTTCCCAATCAAAGGAGTTTTCTTGGGTTTTGTTGTTAATTGCTCCACTCTTTCCTTCTTTGTAGTCAATCAAACGTACTTCTGTCTGTAGATCTAGTAATTATATGTTCTTGTTTTTATGCAGGGCTAATAGACCACCTAAGGCTTTGTGTAAATTAGTTAATGTTTTTTTCCTGCAAAGCTGCTTTTCCTGTACGATGGTGACAGGTGCAAAATGTTCCTTGCAAAAAGCATATGGCAAATTATTGAAGAACAGCAAATGCTTATGGGTTTTTGAAAGATGGGATTAAAGAAGCATGTTCTAAATGGCATCTATGGGCACAGTGATGATTCTGTAGTTCTTCAGGAGCCCAAAATGCCTTAAAATTTCTGCTGCAAAAGCAGATACCTCAGTGGGAAAAAATGTTATAGGGAACATAGAGGGAACATAATAATAATTTTGAAAGGTGCTTAAGCCAAAGTGGGAGTGGCCACATTAGGCAAACAGGCTGGAAAGCAGCACAGATCAGTGTCTGTCTTGCATTAAAAAGCAAAACTGTGGAGCAGAGTTTGTAGGCCAGCCAAAGAAAAACAAAGGATTGTGCAGGGGAAGATAAGCTGTTAGTACTTTGTCTCTGTGGTTTCTAAAATGCCTCTGCTGTTGTTGAATGTTAATCTGGTCGTCACATTGCGAGAGAATCGTGGCTCTCCCTGTAGATATCTGGGGGCAAAACTGGCCTAACGAGGTCAGTGGCAACACTTCTGTTGGCTGGGTATGGCCAGGGTTTCATTCCAACCCTTAAACTGTTTTTATTTCCTGTAAATAATCTCTGCTAGAGCTGAAAAACATTTTAAAATGAGGTTTGATTCCTGAGTGCATGGCTATAAGGCATTAATAAATCGGTAGCCAAACTAAATAACTGCTGTTTTCCACTTAGGTTTCAGCCTTTCCATTTATTTCTGTTTTTCCATTTTCTCACGCTGTTTTGAAAACAGCTCAAAAATCCACATTTTCTGGCAATTCTGAGATGCTCTCAGGAGGGGAACACGTACTCCTTTCCCCACCGAAGGATCCCTGCTGTGTGCTCAGGCAGTGCTGAAGCCACAAGCAAAGCTTTTTTTTTTTTTGTTCAGCTTTGGTTCCCTTCACTTTCTGCTGATCCCACGAAATTGAAAAAGCGAGTGGAAAAAAGCTGAAAGATCCCATCCCATTTTCTCCAATTTAAAGTACTAACTGTCATCTTATGTAAAAGCCTGAGGTAAGCCTCAAAGTTGGATCTCTTACACAGCAATTTCCTTGAAGAGTTATTGGATCACATTTTCATAGGGGCTTCTTCTGCATGCAAGTATTTCATTGCATCTGTTTTTCCCAGTGACCTGGAATTCATCTATCTGACAAAGATATTTCCATGATTGAGCTTCCAAATGTTCAGATAAAAGTATGATGTATCTGCTTTTAGTTCTTTCTGTAGTTGATTTGCAAATGAACACAAGAGAAATACAGAGAGGTGCACAGAGGCGTTACCAGCAAATACCAGGTAGCAAACTTCTAGGTGACAAAGCCTGTGCCAGACCACAGCATTAATAAGACTGAAAGAGTGTAGAAAGGCTGCAGTCAGCGGGCACGGAGGATTTCCTGAGTACTAAAAATCTGATGAAAAATCCTTCAAATCTTCTGACTTGTTCCCAAGTCCCTCACACTGTAATCAGATTCTGCAGCGGGGACCTTATGTCATCCCCTGCACAGTGTCTCTAAGCAAGCAGCAGTGATTTCTTACTTTGGAAGCTGACTTTCATGCATTTATACTTTCTGAAATGAATGTGAGGCCTCTTTATGCCTTAATGAGACAAAACCCTAAAGGAATTCGGATGGAGAACAAGTGCTGTTATGTCCTAGTGCTGTGCTGAAACTTCTCTTCTTTGAGGGGAAAACAGTTAAATGAATGGAAACTTTTGGCCCCCAATGGCTGCAGTATGCACTTAGGATTCATCATTTGCCCTTCTTTGATGCACATCACTCTTGGCAGAAGAGATGAGTATTGCCCTGATTAATCAGTAGTCCTCAGGGAACTGCTCTTTCTGCACATACATTATGATCATTATGAAGCCATACTGTCCTGTGCTTCCTGCATCTTGCATGCTTGCTTGCATATGGAAAATGAAAAATAAGTCGTGCAAAATTTACTGTATTTATTAGAACCATTTTTCTAATTCTCATTCAGTTACAGTGTCACTTGGTATCCTGAAATGACAAATGATGTAGTCACATTTACTGTGCTTCCCCATAAATGTTATTAACTCAAACATTTACATGCAAGAAGGTGGAGATGCAGTAGAGCTATTTTTGTCATCCCTGAAGGAAGTGCCTCCCTGGGGTGTTTCTCCCTGCAGTGTAGGGTGGCTGGCAGTGTCACTGTGGATGCCTGCAGCAAAGTGGGGTCCCAGCTCTCAGTAGGGTGGCAGGGAGCCAAGCAGGAACAGCTGCCTGAGGCTAAGATCTGCTCACCAACTAGAGTCAGGAAAACCCAGCTGCATCTCAGGTGATCCTCCCAGCAGCATCTTTACAGCCCCACTGACACAGTGTAACCTGCCAAACTCCAGCACAGATTCAGAGACAGTTTCAGGTTTCCCAAGCTCCCACTGTTCCTGGCTCAGCTAGTTCTGTCCACCTGAAATCTAACACAGAACGTTTTAGGTTGGCAACATCCTTGGCAAGACAAGCATAGCTTGAGCCTAGCCCAGACACAAGGGCAGAATAAAGAACAGAGCCCTTGCTATATTGCAAAGAACAGCTTTCACTTTGCAAGCAAATTACTGGTTGAATCACATTCGACAGACTCCAGAGTAATTGCTGTATGAGCAGCACTTGGGTTTAGAAGGCATGTCTGTGTGCTTGGCTGACAATTAGATGGCTCATCCCATCCAAGGAAGCATCTCACCTTTGCATGGTACTGGGTACATAATTAAACAGCAAATGAGAAAGATCCACCTTGCAGTAGTGAAACTGCCTGATTCTGGTACTGCAAGATAGCTTGTGCTACTGCAAGATAGACTATTTGCTTTAGAAAAACAGCATATATCACCCCTCTACCAAGAACCTGATCGCTTCTGAAGAGGAGCCATTGTGCCACAGAGTGCACAGAGCAGTTTTTTCTTTCTTTTCCTGCATTTTCAAGCTCTGGTTTCAATGGAAAGGACTCAGGCCAGCAGGATGGACAGGCACATTTCAGCAGGCTCTAATGGGGAAGCCAGTGCAAGGCTGTCTTCTGTGTGCTGGACTGAGACAGGTGGAGGGAAAGGGGGCAAAGGGCTGGCTAGCAGCAGGGCCTTTGCTTTGCTGTGTCTAACATAGTGGGCATCACTGTTTTGTGCTGCCAACAGTTGTTACTCGCTGAGACAGAGCTGGGAGGGGGCTGCAAGGGAAAGCAGCCATTAAATGCTGCCTGCATCTCCTCTGCAATCACAGCACTCGAGTGGCCCAGCCACCCTGAGCTCTGTGGGGCACTTGGAACTAAAATGAAAGGAAATGGGAAACCACAGCTCCATTATTTCAAAGCAGATTGCACAGAAGTTCGTCTGCTGCTAAGAGAAAGAGCTCTGCTCCTTCCCAGCTGACCTGAGACCTCTGCTCATCTGCAATCATTTTCTGTTTCAGGAAAATGAACAGAACTAAATCCGCTGACTGAGAGAAACTTCCACAAATTTCATCTCATGGAAGTCTTTCCATTAATGTCTTTCTCACATGAAAGAGAATTTGGCTGTCAGATATTGTTCCCTGCTGGGCTGTTATTGATTTCTTTTTTTAAAGATAAAAATATGTGATGCTGTGCTATTGAAAAATTAGAAAAACAAATCAACCTGGAACTCAACATAATAGGCCATTTTATAAACGCTAACTAAAGGCTGTGTGTAAGGGATGAGGAATAAGGATTTTTTATTACCAGCTTAAGATTGAGCTTAAAAACTGGCTTCACTTCCCTGACCTTCCAGCCTGGAGGGCACTGCATTCTGGCACTCTCACATGTTAACAGGGTCATCTGCTTTCCCAAGAGAAACTCAGAATTCATACCTGGAGTTGCAGCAGATAAAAAAGAAGAAAGAGACTGATTTGCTGCTTCTTTACATATAAATATATTCAGACAGATTTCCGATGCACATGTCCCTCTCTGTGATCAGAGTCTTAAGTAGTTTATTTATTAAGAAAGAATAACGCTTGTTTTCTTTAAGAATTTCATCTCTCTTTAAAAAACAAAGTCTAGAAAACAAATACATTTCAGTGTCAAAAGATCCATGGCAGAGCTATTCCCTATATTAAGAAAACAAAGGTAATAATACAGATGTCCTTGAGAGTAACTGTTTCTAACAGAGATAAGATGGTGATTAATGGGAAATTTGTTCTTGCCAGGGGTGGCTATCAAGTATGAGTAAATAAATGGGATGGTTCCATTCTTGCAGTCTACCCACCATAAATATTATTACTCTGGTAATAGGAAGATGCAATACTGCTGGCCATTCAGAGGTTCAAGATTCTGAAAACATCCTTGCCCCTTAGGTTATTCTCTTGATGCCATCATTTACTATGATGCCACAGGAGAAACAAATTTGTGGCAACCAATTTAATTTAGTTTTCAAACAATTTCCAGAATATGATATTATTTTCTGATGGTGTCACTGCACCTTATAAACGCTGTCTGAAGACCTTAACCTTAAGAAATGGAACAGCCTTTATGAAGCTGGATTTTAAACATGATAAAGTGTTAAAAATAAATAAACACAGGTTACGTCCCCTCTGATTTTAAGAGATCTGCTTGTAGGCAGTGGTACAAGTTCTGCAGCAGTTCACCTCCTTCCTAAGCACTTGGTGGGATGCAGAGTGCTGCCAGGAGCCTCCCGCAGTCCTTCGTAGCATGTGCCTGAAGTCACTTGCAAAAGAGAGAGGATTTTCAATGCTATCTTAAGCAGAGATAGAAAAAATGTCTCCCTACAAAGATAAAGATGTTCAGTCGTCCCCATAGATTATTTATGGATTTTGCATTTCACAGTCCAAATACATTAACAAAGTTATTCTGTCAAAAAATGTAAATGGTAATCATTTGTTAGCTGCACCACTTGAATAATTGTATCAAAGGGTAATAAAGTTATTGAAGGGATTTATTAACCTGATGAAGTAACTCATTAAATCCTTCAAACACATTAATGAAGGAGGAAGCATGAGTCCTTTTGTTATAATTGAAGATGGGAAATTGTGGAACAGAGCCTACCTGATAAAGATGATCAGATATCCCAAATCAGCTTTGTTTAGCTAGTAATTTTCAGCCTTTGTACTGTGGATTTTTCCATTAATTTTCTAACCTAAAGGCCCACTGACTGAAGGGAGGACAGGTCAGAGTGCAACACACTGCCAGGCTTGTCTGAGGATCAGGCTGGGATGAGCTGGCAGCTTTCAGTGAATTAGCAGTTGCGCTCTCATTTCCTACCTACAGAGTACCTAGGGTTAAGCTACAGCTGATTCTTTTTACAACATTTTTAAAGGCTAGGAAAACCACTGCTTGGGTACAAGTGGCACTTTTCCAGTTTGCAGAATTAAAAAGCTTCCAAGCACACAGGTAGTGTTCAAAGCTGGAGGTGCAGCTATAACCAACTTCAGTAGGATGTGTCCAATCATATGGGTACAGCTGTGTGACACCTGGGCTGTAAAAAGAGGGGAGCTCTGGAGAAGACAATTATTCCCAGCATTACTTGTGGCATTGCTGATTGGTGGTGCACTGGAATCAGTAGCGTGAAATGAGAGCTGTTACAGAACTGTTCTTTATGATCAGGTGGCAGTACGTGTGTATCTGCTGAGTGCTGACATTCACAGGACTGGAGTGTCTGAGAAACAGAGAACTCTGGTTTCAACCCCCTGTCAAAGAGTTTTTGTTAGAAGATATGAAAACATGTAATTTGTGTCTTCCTGGTAATTCTTGTGTCCTGGGGAAATGGAAGCTGGTCATTGTTGCATAAATCAATTAGAAGAAGCATGTAGGATGCCTTTTTTGTTTTAAGCATGTATTTTTCATGGTTGCATCCCAGATAAAATGCTGTTCTGTCAGGGATTCTAATCACCTTTCAGCCATTTATGTAAAATACCTGTCTCTGAAAGAGGTAATGAATGCAATATCCCTGAGGCTTGAAGACTGTTGGGATGTGAAGTGCGACTGTAACGATGTGAGACGTGGGCATTGCTCTCAGGCATTAGCCTGACTCAGCTCTGCACAGCACGTCTCAGCAATGCGGGAGACAAGATACAGAATGTGCAAAGTTAAAATAAATTCACTGTAAAACGCCTTTAAAATAAGGTCACCTCTGATGTAAGGCTAGTATTTAATGGCTAGCAGCTTCATTAGGAATCTGTTTTCATGAGTGTCTGAGAGTCCTGGAAGGGGTGAAAAACGTGATTTAAAACAGACACGTGAGGTGAGCAGGTTGGGAAGGGAAGGGAGCAAATGTGTCATGTCAAATCGTGACATCTCAGGCGATCTACACATCACTGCCTGTCTTTTGGACCTCACCCCCTGCTCTAAATAGCTATTTAAGAACTTGGAATTGACAGCCAGAGCAAGAGCAAAGACCTACTGTAGGCTGGGCAGAATCTCTCCTTTCCAAGTAGGCTGGCTCCTCTGCAGACACAATAATGCTGCAAGGAGACATGTCAGCTCCTTCACTGCTAAGACTCAGGCTAATACTGCTCTTGCTAGGGAACATATTGCATGGTGAGTTGAAGCTGCATTTGTTCTTAGCCAAAGGATCACAACAAGAAGCATTAATTAAATTTTCAGTTATCAATTACATTCCCTATCTGTGCTGGAGAGCATGCTAGTTCTGGCAGGGATAGGTTAATTAAGAAAAAAAGCAAGGCATTTGCCACCTTTATTTCTATTAGTAGAACAGGAACCGAGCAGCTAACCAATGTGCATTGCTTAGAAAATGCGTACCATATTATGTTTACCTAAAATAGAGCAATTGAAATCTGCATTTTTATTAGCGCTTTTTAATTGTTGAATAAAATGTAACAGAGAGAAGGGAATACAGGCACTTTGATGTACAATACATTCTGAATGTGCTGCTGTCATCTAAAGGATCCAGCACTTATTTAATATTATTTTGCTGTTCTGCCTCTATGTTTGGTGTTGAAGAAAAGATGGAGTGAGCATGACTTACACAATTTCCAATAAAATAAATAGAAAATATATACAATTATTGAAGCAATAAAATAGTGAAAAATTGTAATGGCTTCCAAATAAGAGTGCATCTGGTAGTCCCCAATTCTTCAATCCCTGAGTCTTTTAAGATTTTGTTTAACAGTCTGCTACCCTGAGAAACATTTGCTCTTGTCTCCCCCTTTTACAGGCCACTAAATAGGCTGTATATCTTCTAACCTTGCAGGTGACAAAATGCACTCCTTCACTGTAGTCCACACAGTGCCAGATCATTTCAGCCTTTCCAAGTAAATGACACGCAACTCTATAACTGCATGATTAGGCCCATAGATTACCAGATTACAACCATAAATCTTCCCCATAGCTACCACTCGCTTGGCAGAAATAGTGAAGTATCATCATTTGTTCTCATGTAGAAAACATGCTGTGAAATGCAACCTCAAAGGTCACCAAGATGGCATTTCCTTTTGTGGCCCTCAATAAACTTGTAGCTAATGCAGCAATTACCAAGCCCAATTACCCCTGTGCAGCCTTCAGAGAATTTCTTTTCTGAAGTCTTGGTAGTTGAATTCCACTTTTTTCAGTTAAAATGTGGGGTAGATTTAGCTGTCTGCACAATTGCTAGACATTTCTGGAACAGGCTATTTGTGCACTAAGGACCTGTCTGAATGAGGAGGCTGTGCCAACAAAATGGGAGCAGGGTATTTGAGCAATACTAATGAGATGTGTGCAAAAAGGTGTGTGGGCACTCATTTCAGTGTTAGCTTTATTTAAAATAACCTCTTCCTTCCTATTCTACCTCAGCTGAATCCAGATAAACTGTAGTAACATTGTCCAGCTTTTTCCACATGCATATCTCCCAGTAGTTTGGTGTATATATACCTATATAGAAACACAGGTTACTGTAGCTAATGCAATGCCTTGGCTGCTGAGTTGTAGTCACATACTCAGCATTTAATTAAACAGTCTGAGACATTGTACAAACTGGTACATTTCCTTTGTTGGCTAAGACAAGGTTTTCACAAGCTACATAGCTTTCTTTATATCCACATTCATTTTATAGCCATTAAGTGCTAACTTGTGAGTTGTACCATTTAGGGAAAAAAAAAAAAAAAAACAGACAGAAAAGCAACTGATACAATCTTCTGCATATCTGGCAACAGTCTGGGACTGATGCGTGCTCTTCACAACATGTTTGACTGAAATGAAGCCGAAAGAATAATTCTTATAAAAGGAGAAGAGCTGAACTGCAATATGTTGAGGTGGTTGTATCCTTGTTACCACTTCCAGTTCTTTGTTCAGGGAAAGATAGCTTGATTTTCATACCACGTGTATGAATGCTATTATCCCTTTTCCCAGCTCTCCATTTTGCTTTCTTTGGAAGGAATAATTGCTGGGGCTGCTTTCAAGAGTTTGAATTATGGGAACCTCACCTGCACCTGCTAGTTCCATAAAGGAGAAGGGTATGTAATGAGGGTCCTGTTTGTCTCACTCTCCAAAATGATTCGTTTCCATACCAATAGGATTTTGTCTGCTTCAGTTTTATCTTTGGCAAGTCATTTCCCTCACCATGTTATTTGTACCTAAATGACATTTGAAATGGTGCCTGCTGATTTTAGACATATATCAGTTTTTTAATCAAATTTACTCCTCCTTGCCCTGTTCTGTTTGCACACTTAGGTGCAGCTGTTATCACAGAGAACAATAGCTGTGACCTTGGATCTTATTTAGCATTGTCTTTAGGCTTCCTTGTTGGAAGAGACTTATATGTATCTCCTTTTCATACAGGGGAACTTGCAAAATATCCTATATGTAGTGACCCTTCAGGCATGCTACAAAAACACTTGCTTAGGAAGAATGCTGGAAATTATGAAGTGTAGTCTAACCAATGCAGTAGGAAAAGAGATGATGTTTTTGAAGATTTCTGGCTGAGTTCTGGTTAAAGGTTTTTCTCAGCACTGCTCAGATATTAGCTGTATTTCTAGCTCTGTATTTAGGGTGTCTGTGGCTTTGAATCAGCATCTGCTTTCTCATTTAAAATCATATTAGTAAAATCAAATAAACGTAAGGAAAAGCTTAAGAGGAGCTAATAAAATGATTAGAGAACATTGTATAAGCTCAAGGAAATGTTATTCAAAGTCAATTGAGTGTGTGTAAGAAGAACTGCCAGCTTTAAGGAGAGAGAAAATGGATTATATGTGAGAGGAAACTTCTTGATGAGATGAGTGAGAAACTGCTTTGGTAGATTAAACTTTGTCAATAAAAAAATGTTCCAAGAATAGATAAGACTGTAAAGTAATCTGTAATAGGTCTGGAAGAACACTCTTGCTGGCCTACAATTCAGCCTTAATTCTCATGATTGCCTGAGATATCCCACACTCTTGCAATTAATCCATCATAGTCACAAGAGTCAGGAATGTAATATACTCCTAAAATATGCAATTTGAATTTCTAAAACCAAATAATCTTCTTAAAGCAGGTAATTTCAGCAAGATATTCATGCACAGCGTATTTTACTACTGCTAACCATTACTACTATTATTGCACATCATTTAAGCACTTTAACAAATACAATAAAACAAAACAATCTGCTCTCCATGGCTCTTTTTGATCTCTGTAATATTTGTGGACCATCTCTAGATTTTGATCCCAAGCTATTTTCAGTTTAAACATAAGAATGGTAGGATACACTTCAGTTTAACCAAGTTTTCACTGCCTCACAGTACAGAAAATGGTTCAGTTATTTGTTTCCTGCACTGAAAACTCAGCAATATTGGGGAAAGAAGTGGAAATGGAAATAGCCATTTTCTGTGCATGGTATTTGAGATGGTTGTACATTGGTGCCCTCTGCACATACTTGAGAGAACTGCATCACTTTGGTTTGGGTTAAAATGAACAGGAAAATGCATTGTGATTGGTTTAAATACTTGAACAGTATTTCAGGAGCTTAATGAAATAAATAAACCTGAGCAATGACAAAAAGTTGTAGTTAATTATATTTTTAAATAGTAGCAAATGCTGCTTTTCCCTGAGTAGCAGTGACACGTTTAGTATTATTACCACCACCAATTTGCAACTTTTTAGAATAAATGCTCTGTTTTCCATAAAAAAGAGGAACCCTCCTTCCTAATAATAACTCTTTCCTGATAATTAAAGTTACTCTATTTAGAAATTGACAAATTCAGGTATCAACTTTTTTAAAAAGGAGGGAAACAACATTGTATTAACCTTCAGGTCTGCAGAGGAGCAAGAGCACAGCCCAGAGGTACTGTGTTGACTGGCAAACCTGCCAGAGGAGAACTGCCAGTTGCCATCTGACTGTAGGACACCAGTGAAATAAAGATGAGAGAAGAAGAGGGTGAGACTGGAACTCTTTGTCAGGGCAGAAGATAAAAAAGTAGATATTAAAAGTGACTTACGGCTGAATTGATGCATGTGGACTTGACTGTGAACTGCCTTGCAGTGGCTGTGAGTTAACTGGTGAGATCTCAGCTGATGGTGTCCTAGCAATAACAAATACCACATATCAGATACTAAAACAATAATTAGAAGTGCATGTTTTTAGCATGGCCCAGTAGGTTATGGGACATGAGTGTCAACAGTCTGAGGAGCCAAACGATCAGTCAAGCCATGTTAAAAAAAGCAATCCAACTATCCATTTTACCAGCAAGGCCACTCTAAACTCCATATGCTCCTTACTACAGAAAAGGCCCCAGTATGTTGTCTTGCTTTCTCATCATCTTTTATGACAGTGAGATTACACTACACATCACGGTAATACAAACTCACTGCTGTATTCTGACACCTTTTAAACGGTTGTTTGTTGCTGGAAAATCGTGCAGAAGTATAAGTGCTCTATGAGTAGCCTAAATGGAGCCCCACTGCTTCTTTGTGTGTTCTCCCAGCTAACTGCACTGCTGATGGACAGCACTATTAAGCTGTCATTAGCACCACGTCTGAAAGCTTGGCTTCTGCTGATAATAACAGGCTATTCAATATCTGGAGCCTTTGTAAGAAAGAGGGCACCTAAATGAGAATAATGAGGTCATTCTGTGACATGCCTGAGGATATGAAACCATGGGTAACTTTTTAGTCCGTTTGATATGTGAACACATTACATTCAACTGTGACAGATTATTTCTAGCATTCAAAACAAAACAAAAACAACAACAAAAAAAAGCTTCTTCCGTTAAATCAGACTACAGAACATGAGCACCAATCAAAACACTGGCATCACTGTAAAGCACAACCTTCAAAATATTAATTCTGTGAAACCCAGTCAAAAAGAAAACATTCATATGGACAGATACAAGAAGTAGAGCAAGGGGTTGAGATACTATCAGAAAAACAGCTAAGTTTAACAGCACAGTTTGAAGGGATTTTATGGTAAAAAGATTGCTTACAATTATGCATAATGACTTGGAGCTGAATGAGATGTGTGCACTATTTTGACTTTGAAAAGATGAATCAACTGAAATAACTGAAATGTTATTTTCAGACCTGCTTCTTGCTTAGAGCATGGAGCTACAGACCACGGGTGTGAGGACTGACTGGTTTAGTCTGTACCTCTGCTCAGAGGTTTAACACTCAAACTTTACAATACCAGTAGGAACATTCTTCCTTTTCTATTTATTCTCCAAGATAACTTTTTCCATTTCTCTCCATAGAAGTGGTGCTCTCAGAATTTTCCTGTGTGTGCAAGAGACACACAGCTGTCAGGCTGTGCTGCTGAGCAAAGGAAGCGTGCTGGCCCTTCACTCTTCGTTCTTCTTTTGGGAAAGCTCAGTAATCTTTGCTAGACATGATGTTCCTGCATGGCTAGTTTAGTCTAATACGTGTGCAGTTAAGGTAGATCTGGATCATACCATAATTTTTTTGCATTTAGCTTCAGTTTCTATATACAGAGAAACACAGCTGCTGAGATTTGTGCTGTGCTCTACATCTTGTGCTCCCTGGTGTACTCAAGGTGCTGTGTGTGCTGGGGAGGACCTTGCATGTAGAATTGTCAACTTCTGCACCTTAAGCCTGGAAAGAGGGGAAGGCCACAGCGTTCTTTTCTTGTGAACCTCTGAAAACTTAACGTTCACAAAGGCTAAAGGCACAGAGCGGTGATGGGAAGAAGTGCAGCTGAACACCTTGCTCTCAGAGAGCTCCACTTACCAGCAGGCAGTTTCTCTTTGTACCCTTCCCTGAGTTACCCTGGAGGAAAACAGACATGCAAGTTTGCTTCTGTTCCAGTTTCTCTCCTTTGAATTTCTGTTTTCTTGGTCTTATTATTTCTTGTGTTTTTTATTTGTTTTTATTATTATTTTTTTTTTTTTACAGAGGATTAACTATTAACTCAGTCATTACCATTATTCTCGAGTTACTAACAATTCACCCAGAATTTGAATAAATGTGGGAATAAGGACTGCCTCATAATGTCTGATGCATAAAATAAAGCTTTCTAAAAGTAGGCTATAGATTATAAATACAGCACTAACTCAATGGCAAAAACAAAACAAAACAAACCCCCATAAAATTAAAAATGTATCTATTTCTCAGTGTTCTTTCCAACAAGAGCTACTTACAGGGGCTGGGGTGACACAGCCCTTCATGTCAGCCTACCTTAGCACCTCTTGACTTGCAGGGTGGACAAAGACAGACTCTGAGCACTGTACCTGGTGTACTTCAGTGTATCTGCATCATAGGCAGTCCTACTTTCAAAGCAGGAAAAATAGCTCTGCTCTTTATTAATTGCACAATATACATTTAAACATAACACACATTCATTAAAGACTAAAATCTGTGAAGTTCTATTAAAAGCTAACAGATAATCCAAAGTAATTACAGGAGGCAAGTCTGGCTTTCAAACATCAGGAGGCAGCTTAAGCCTTCATTGTATTTTAGACGTATTTCCTCATTATACACTGGATTAATCTGCTGGTGTATTTGACTTGAAGGAGATTTCCTCCAACTCTGTGCCTTTCTACTGAAACTTCACATTCCTACAGCATATCTTTATTCTGTGTTTTTAGCCCCTGAGCTGTCAAATGAGATAAGAAGGCAACCTTCAGCCTTGATTTTTTTAAAAATCAAAAGCCAAATAAAGCTAAATAAAAAGACAGATTATACTGCATTATATTGTACTGTATATTGAGTTCACAGTGCTGAGAATAATGACAAAGTGTTACATTATCAGAACATCATCAGCAGAATCTGCAAAACTACATTTAATCTCTTCAACTGAATGTTGGTACTTGGCAGAACAAAGTCATTGTTTGTCTCATGCCCAAAAAATGCTATTGAGAAGAAAAACAAAGCAGCTTTGCAATCTGCAACTTCAGGAACTCTTCTCTGGATTCCATTACATCTGAATCATCTCACTTTTTAAATGGCTGTATGATGCGCACCACATTCCAGACATTATGTAATGAGCAACAGTTCTCATGCAAAAAAATCCCAGTTCTAACTTGCTGCCACGTTATGACACTACTGTTCACCAGCAACAATTATGAAAAATGTCCTGACAACTAGGAGTATTTTTAAGCTATGACTTTTCCCACTGTTTTTAATGTTACACATTTGCCTTTCTAAAACAAAGAATTCTTTCAAAGGAATTAAAAGCTCAGTAGTAACAGTGGTTTCTTTTCTCCTCTCCAGTGTTCATAATGGCTTCTGGGCTTTTGGTTTACCCTTTTGGTTTCAACTCTGCTACTGTGAAGAGATTCTGTGAGAATTCAGACATCTACTATGCAGGAGACTGCCAGATTGGATGGGGGTATATGCTGGCAATTGTGGGGGTCACGTTGTCTGTCTTTTTACCATTCTTTGCAAAATATGCACCAAAAGAGCACATATCTCCGACTCCAATACCTACTATTTTATAGTATTTTATTACTGTTTAAGAACAGAACATTCCTGTCTACAGGCAATGGGCAGCAATTATTATAGCACTTCCATTTAGCTGTATTGCTAAAGAGAAAAAGAAAAAAAAAAAAGAAGAAGAAAAAAAAAAAAAGGAGATGGGGAGAGAAGGTCAGATTCACAAAGACCAAAAGTGCATTGATAGTCTTCCGTACACACGAGTAGCGAACGCTCTGGAATTAAACTAAGATGAATCAGCAGCCTTTGTACTGCTCCGAACACAGCGGCGTCATGCCTTAGAAAAAGTTGGTATCTGTTTATCCTCAGAACATCTGTCTACCTCCCAGACTGTTTCTTTTGTGTCTCAAAACCTTAAGACTTTTAAAAGCTTCAATCCACTTTTTATATATTATTAAATGTGAAAGCTTTTATGAACCCAATAATTTTAAAACCAATGACAATATTTTGTTATAATTATTTTGGTTAATTAAAAAAAAAAAAAGCCTACTAGTAGCCATGGCCTACAATTAAGCCTGATAACTAAAAGAAGCGTATACCAGAAAAATTTTCTTTTTAATCTCTATGTATTAGTAGTACCTCCATATTGTCAGTTGTCAGGACACATTCATTCTGATCTATTCCTCAAGATTTATAGTCATGTTCATTAAGATAACACAGAGAGAGAAGATGTAACTGCTTCCAAAGGCTCATGATGATGTAAAAGGTTAAGAAAATACTTTTTTTTTCCCCCGTGTTTCTTCAATTCTCATTTTAAGTGGAATTTTGCAGAACGATTTGAACTATGACAACTGCAGATTTGTTGTTGCTGCTCTTCAAGGCAGTAAACAACAATCTCTGCTTACAAAAAACGTGTGCCCTATGGCCCTTACGTGTAATGGCAGTACAAGCCAGAATTAACCAGATTCTAACATATCCAGTCCTTTTGTATGTTTATATGGGAAGTGTTACTGCATACTACTAAGAAGAAGAATCTGATTCCATGTCAGAAGTAGCACATGGCCATAGTTCATGGGCTTGTGTGTGAAATTCATCTAATCTCCTCAGTAGCATTGGATTCATTACTATCAAAGATTGAAATAAGTGCACTTGATTCCTTAAGGAAGGGAAACATTGGGTTCTAAGCTCCCCCCACTGTTCTGTTTCATTTAAAATAATTTGAATTCTAATATTTTATTTTCTATTATTTATTAACAAGCACATAGATTATATTTAATTCAGAGCCGTATGTCTCAGTTTGCATTTTGGCACAACCTAAGTGATCAAGTTCATTACTCTCCATTTATCTGAGCCCAACTAATTCCAGAAGTTAGTGTTGTTTTTATGTTGTTTTTTTTATGGAAAGCGTACATGAAGGAACAGACAGAGACATGTTGAGGATGTATAAGAAAATGCAAACAGATAGAACAATCACTGTGTAATTTTAATACGTCAAAGACTTCCACAGTCTGGTTTACTTTCCTCACGCTTCTGAACTTCAATGGACTGTTGCATTGTTTTCCAAAATAATGATCTGTTGTTATGTTTTCATGCACTCCAAAAGCAAATTCTGCACACAAACTAAGTTAACCTTTGGAAATACAGATTTCACAGTAGAATTAAGGACATTGAGAATTAGAGAAAGAGCATTGTGTGCTTTTGTTCTCAGTGAATAAGAGATGACATCCTCCAAATACTTAATAACGTAGGTTAAAGGATTGTCAAAATTAAGCTGAATTGATTTCCATCATTTCTGTATAGTAGCACACTTTCCAGTAACTTCCTTTAAATGAATAGCTAAAATTGACAATTTTTGTATAAAAGTCAGAAAAGTGAGGAATAACAACCAACAAGCAAAAAGAAAATGATAACCACAAAGTAGAGAGAGACAGAGATGCAGGCTTTTCTTTCCTAACCAACCTGTGCCTTTACTCTAGAACCATTAGACAAGACAGGATCAATATGGTTAAAAAGAATCAACAACTGAAATGTGTGATGTGTATAAACTGTATTACGTAGGGTTTTTTCTGTTTTGTGTAATGTTTAAGACTGTCACTTAATGTTCCACTAGAAAAGTGATTTGTTAGTGTGCAAAAAAAAAAAAGATTGCAAGGACCTAAACACTACAAGTAAAATTTTGTATTTTTCTTAACATCCATACAAAACCTGCTAAACAGTCAATTCCTGTCATTGCTCATTAACTTTCACATGTGCAGAACTGGAACCTTCATTCAACCACAATTGGACTGCAGCACTGTGTGATGTTGAACATACACACACACACTTGCAATTCTGGCCCCATAGCTCAAACTTCCTTTGTAATTTTAACTTACTGTTTTAATGGAGTCCTACAATTTACAACACTGCCGTACCAAATCTCTTACTTCTTTAAACTCAGCCTCTTTTGTTGTGAGCACCGTCAGGATTTATTTCCTTCTGTAAACCAAACTAATGCCTCCATTTGGAAATTTTGTTAATATTTTACCATATATTAAGGAAATGAAGCATAAGTATAGGACCCCTACAACTGGATAGACAAAATTTTCCTTTAAACATCCATGCTCAGAACCAGCTTAGCACAGAAGACAGAGATAAGGCAAGGGATTCTTAGCACAGTTAGGAAAGCATATGCTTTAGCTCCTCAACTGACAGCTTTAGTAGGGTGCTGCTAACAATCCATATGCTAACACTGACAGATCACTTTTTAAAATAAAGACTGTCTGCAAGTTGAACTGTGTAAAGCGTTTTCTTGTTAAAAGTCAAACAATTTATGGGATCAGGTTCAAGTTTTATTCTAAATATATAATTTTCTAAGTGTAACTAAAAGCTGTATTTTCCATTAATGTGTTTCTGCATTGACTAGCTGGCTCCTTTTTAGAATATTAACTGTTTTCTGTATTTGACTTGTTGGATACAATACTTCAATTATTTTAATGTGAAATTTCCAATTGCCAACACTGTATAATAAAAAAATTTGAAAAAAAGAAGTGTTCATTATTTTCTTAACCTCTCTCTCTTTTTTTATTAAAGAAAATTCCAACAGATTTGGTACAGAGCATTGAAGTAAGGGGAAAATGAAATAGAAACAACAGGAATAAGCTGTGAGAGTAAATGTTTGAAGGCAAAGACACAAACATGTATGTGGACCATCCCTCACAGGATGTTCCTGTGGCAAGGGCAAGGAAGTTCTGTGTTGAAGTAATTATTTTCCAACTTCCCACGTGCCCTTGAACAATGTTCCTACAGCTTCAGGGTATGCTGCTCATTTAAACAAGTGTTATAATGATTCACTGTTTTTAAAGAAAAGTATAACTAGACAGTGTAGCAATGGAAACCATATGAATACCTAATATATACAGCTGTATCCTGTGAAATCTTTCTGCAGTGTCTGTTATGTTCCTTTCTAGAAGATCTTTTACACATGTTATTGCTACTCAAAGGAAACTGAAGCAGGATACACCATCTTACTTTCTACCAAATAGCAATTTTAATGAAATTACACAAAGAACTTTGTTGATGTTTGTTAGCTACTGAACTTTGACCAAACACTCACCACAGTCAACATTCAGAAACAGGTATTGAAGGTATTGCTAATAACTGAAGATAAGAAGCAAAGGCAGTGTGAATTAGTTTTGACAATATCCTTTTTCTGAGGCACGTGTCAGAGTCAAGCTTGTGTGGCCAAGTATTACAGAACTTAGAAATCTAAAATTTCACTCTCAGCAAATTGAAAAGGTCTAGACTGATTGCTTGTTGGCATAGAAAGAAACAAAAAACCAACCACACCAAAAGGGGAAAATAATATGTATAGTAGGTAGTACGTATAGGTGGTATACCATTTAGTTGAGAAGATAAGAGCAGCATGTGTTTGATCCCCTTAGGAATGCTCAAAACACTTCTGAGAATTCCTGCAGGCTTAGGCCATCGCTAAAAAGGAGAAACAACTTTCATTCTCGCTAGCCACCTGTGGCTCTGCCTCATTTCTCCTCCTCATGCCTCAATCAAAGAAAGTTTCACTATTAAGTCTTTTCTTCAGTGACTGGGAGAGATAGGAGGCCACTAATCAACCTGGTCTGCTTTTAATGATGCATACACGTGGGTAACAGACAGAAGAGAGATGAGTGGGGCACTCCCTGCAGTTTTCACATGGAAAAGATCCATGGATTTTTTTTGTTTGTTTATTTTTAAATAAAACTCATTGAACAGTCCATCTCAAAAAAAACAGAATTTGGCTCACTCTAGTTAAGCAGGAACAGTTCATATAAGTTACGTACATATAAACAACTTCAACATTTTAATTCAGAATTTCTCCAGTAAAATCTAATGAAGTACATAACAAAAGTGTTATCGCACAAATAGCCAGAGAAAATAAACTATGAAAGTGATATGGAAACAAAATGCTGTCCTTAAGGTTTGTTGGATAAAGAGTACTATTTTCAATTATTTAATCACATTTTTAGCATTAGTTTGGGTAAATAAATTTTATACAACAACCTTTACGTTTAAATTTCATTCATTGTTTTTACATAGGCTGTCATCTCAACATCTGCAATTTTAACAAATTCTTGGAAAGTGTTTTGTTCTGGAATAGTTGCTGGTCTTACAGAGACACACTTGAAAATATTCCTTTTTGTGTCATAGTTTCCCATGCATCTGAGCACACGACCTCTAATGAGTCTTGGAAGCTCACGGTCCTTCAACAAAAGCGCAACAAAGAAAGAAATTCCATCACCTTTCTAACATGGAAGCTTTCCAAATGTCTGGTTGCTACTTATTAGTGCATTTCTGAAAGCTGTATCAAACAATGAAGTAATTTACATAATCTTTTTTTTTTTGCTATTATCAACTACTTAGGAGCTGAACTGAAAGCCCTACCTGCATCTTCAATATTTTTGGTGAAACTGAAGTCTGAGGGTGCCTAAATAGTGGCTGCATTATTGCCTTACACCAGTCTGGGTACAGTAAGGTATAAGCACCCAGTCTTCCTTTTACAACACAATTTTCTGTTTTATCAGAACAATGCATTATTAACTTCTTAAAGGCATTGTATGCAGTGATGTCTGTGTTATGTATAGACATGGGAATACTTACAATTTCATAAAAAACACAAGGCAGGCTCTCCTTTCCATCTCTCAAAAGAAAATTCTTGGCTCCGTATGCTCCAGATGTGACTGCAGAATCAAGTGTGCCTACAGCATGTAACAAAACCAAGGCACGATGTAAATATCAGAGCTGTACTAAATATGATATCAAGATATCATGACAATATTTCCTCCACAAAAGCACAAAGGTGTATCAATCAGCATCAGTTTCCTGTCACAACCTGCTGACAGCCCTGGAAGTTCCAACATGTTACGAGCTTCACATACTCTTCTAATGGTAAAACTAGATTTAAAATCTGCCTAACTGGAGTGACAAAATGTCACTGTCATAACAGTCACTGTAAGTGGGTTATTCCCTTGTTAACCAGAGCAGAACACAATTCTCTAAGTTATATTGATCCTCATGTGCCAATCAGCATTAAACATTACGAATATCTTGGCTGTCACAATAATAGCTTTCTGAGATGTCATTACATTGTATTTTTTATTCATCTTAATTTAATGGGTTTAGTCATTCCTGTTGTATTCTATCATGTTCATTTCTCAAATAATGTCAGTTAAAATGCCAAGTGAAACACACTAAGTCACTTTCCATTAGAAGCACCCCATGCTTACCTAAAACTTCAAATAATAGTGGAGTTTTGTAAGTGTATTGGCTCCAGTGCTTCATGCTTTCAATGACTGCAGATATGATTCGCAAAGAATTCCTTTTTTCTTTAAGTTTTAATTGAAATAAAGAAATATCCTTGTGGAAGAAGATGAAAACTTGAGTTAGAGATATGCACTTGAAGACTTCTAAAAGCACATAGGTGTTCATGTATTGTTATACACCCAATATTTAAAGTATTTGTTCAGACTCTGCACATGACCCCCTGCCAATTTATAGGATCTTGCTGAGGACCAGAGGCCATTAAAATATGAAAATCTCAGTTCTACATTTTTAGAAACTTAAGGGTTTGTTAAGGCAGCTGAGACTGATAGAACCATCATCTGCCCAGAGTTTTCTTTAAAGTTTTCTTCATTGTATCTTCCTATTCTGACTTCATAAATTTACCTGACTTTTGTCTTCTGGAACACAATCAGACTGCTTTTCATTCATGCTATTTTGCTGACTATTGCAGTTCAATTTATATGCCAGACCATAATCCTGCAGATTTCTTGATGTAGTGTTAAGTTTCACTGGCCGCTGTTCTTTAGTGGAACGCGTTTGGCTGGTTTCTGTTGTTTTGATATGATGAGATGAATGAGAGCTATCAGGTATTTTCTGCTGCTGAACAGGTTTCCAATTATTTGAACGATTCTCAAACTTTTGAGTAGTTCCACTATCAGATATTGAACTTGTTCTGTTACTTGCAGGGGTACAGTCATTTCTGTTCCAAATTTTAGTACTGGGAGTCTTCTGTTCTGCCCTGCAGTATGATGTAAGATAAATTCAGTACCACAGTATCCACCCTGAAGTCTCGAATAAGCAATCACAGTGTACAAAAGCAGTATGCATTGTTTTAGTTTTAAAAATCTGATATCTCTTTAGATTCGAAGAACATACAATTAAATTTATCCATATACAGGGCAGCCATTACACAGTTGCTTAAATCCTTTTGATCTACGTTTAGGTACACTGGAATTGACGTTCCATTTCAGTTCTTTTTGGCTCATAAGCAGAACGTAATTATTTAGGACTGCAGTGATTACCTGGAAATTAAAAGGGTGTTCCTGAATGCCACTAGAATATACAACGAGATGTACTCTCACATAATAATGTTGGTTAAAGATAATAAAATTTAAAGTTTTTACTAACCTGTAGGCATACAAGTTTCCTCCAGCTTTGACTAAATTAGGCTTTGATGCATTTGGTGATTTCATAGGGGAAGGAGCCACGTGATCGTCTGCTCTGCTTTCAAAGAGAAGTTAAAAAAATCAGCAACACGGTAACAGCTTTATTTTCAGACAGGCGTATAGTTCATAGTTTGTGAAATTGATAGCATCCAAATAAAAACAGATGCAGAACAAGTAATACAACATACATACCCACTGTTTGCTGCTTTCTGTAGTTCATCGACTTCTGGGTTTACAGCTTCCCAGCCTGATTCCCAAAAGACAAGAGATTGTGTATGGATACAAAGTGAAAAGATTGAAAGGTATCAAGTCTACTTAGGGCTCCTACCCTACCTAACGTTCCACAAATAGTCTCAGGAGGGGAGTGGAAAAAAAGGAAAAAAAGAAGAGAATGTGTTTTTTTTTTTTTTTTTTTTTTTTTTTAAATATCTGTAATTATAAGGCAACTTCTAGCAAGTAGATTGCTTTTCTAGATATTGCTTTCTTACTAGCACACATTTTTGTTACAAGAAGAACGCAAGGAAAATAGTAATAATTGAATGCTGCATCATCCTTTCCAAGTACAATTTGAAGAATAGAAGTTCTCAATTACAAGAAAGACATCTTGTAAGTGTTTCTTCTTGTAATACTGGGCTTGAATTTTGATTGAAATCAACTGAAAACAAAAGGTCACAAACCCAAGAGACTATTTAAATACCAGTGCTACTTCATTCTGTAGCACACAAAGCATTGACCTCCCTCTAGGCATGAAGGAAAAAAGCTCAATTGTATAGCACAGAAAGAAACTTCTGTCCATTGTTTAAAACATGGAGGACATGTTTTAAACAATGGACTTCTCAGAAGTAAGTATAAAGGATGCATATAGTTTTTGATAAGGACAATATCTCGTTTAATACAATAACAAAATTAACATTTAATTGGATATGGAGCCATCAAAAATATACACATCTTAATTACCCAGCGATGAAGAAAAGTCATGAGTCACAGAACTGGAACCAGGCTCGTTCTTAATAGGATTTGAGGTGAGGGGCTGCCTGGGTCTCTTTTTCTGATTGAAGAGAAGCACAGGCAAACAACCTAAAATTAAAATTCACATGATAACACCACACCAGCATTAGGAGCATATGCAGTCTATACTTAAAGTATGTAAATAGTGATTATCTAACAATTGTTGTACTTACATTACCTGTGGGAATTATGGTTCATAAGCACATAGCATAGCATAGCCCTGCCATCGCCTCACAGGGCTGAGCCCTTCATCCTGCAGATTAGTCTGTGAGCTATACGTATCACTTCATTACCAGCCCCATGCCTCCAAAACTTTACACTATGCTGTAATAACAGAAATCTGTACAAGTCTACTTGGGAAATGGGCTCCAGGATATAAGCATAACGATGAATAAGCTGTAAAGTACAAAATAATGGATAATACCTGCTGTGCTGCGGGTTGGAGCATCAGCTGAACTCCTTTTCATGACTGCACTGTGCTTTAAGAGCCAACGCTTTACTGGTTACTCCGTATTCACTGCATGAAAGGTAGGTAAAGGGAAAGTGAGCTAATTAATGCTGTAAACACATTCAAATTATATGCAACTTTATGGCAGTCTGTCTCAGTGCTTTGTTTAACCTGTTGCACGCATCACTTCAGACAAACCTAAAACGTGTGAGGATTAGTGCTGAATTTAACAGGCTCACAGGGATCCCAAGCAGCACTCAATTAGCAGATTGGTAGCCCAAAATATTCATCATTGAAGCAAAAGTCACATTCGCTAAGTTCTTGGCATGCAATAAGAATACTGGATTTACTGCTGAATTCAAAAGCACGCTTAAATGCAAGGAATCAGTTTACTCTTTAATTCTGTGATGCACATTAACTGCACTGTGACAACTGCAGCAGCTCCCAGCTCCTCGCTGCCACCTGATTTGTAATTAAAATGCACTGAGTGCTATAAAGCCTCATGGATGCTAGCAAATAATGCACTTGTAAAATGAAACCTCTCACACCTGACGCCGCAGCCCTTAGAGCCGATTTTTGCATTGCATAAGATTGCTTTTCTGCGTGGCTTTATTTTTCTTCCTCTTGAAGGCGAGCAAAGCACAGCCCTGAGCTAAAACACGCAAGGAAAAGTAAAACAAAAAAAATAAGCAACAGGAGACAGCAGGCTAAACCTGCGCACTGCTTCACACACAGCAGCACCCTCACCTCTAAACAAAACCACCCCCCCCACACACACACGCTGAGAGGACACAACCGAGCAGCAGCCCGCCAAAAATAACGGCCCAACCCGCCCCACCCTCACTCAGGTGCGAGGTGAGAAAAGGGCGGGAAAAGGCGGGACGCGCGCTGCGCTATAGCGCTGCAGCCGCCGGTGGCCGCGAGAGGGCGCGAGTGAGCAGCCAGGGCAGGAGCTCACCGCCCCCTGCGGAGCGGCTGTGGGGCTTCGTGACGTGTTATGGCAGCGTCTGATGGGCTTCCATGTTAAATTGTAGCTTGTAGGCAGATTAATTCCTAAATCGCTAGCTTTGGAGCTCTCCTTCTGAGTTTTTAGGCCAGGTCACCTCAGCAGAAAGGAGGGAATAATAAAAAACTGTGCGCTGTGTGGCGTTGTCATCAATAAGTGTTACATTATCCACTTCTCGGTGATAAACTAAGTCAAAACGTTCACTGCAAATAAAGCGGTACACAAAATCGGTGCTGAATTCTTAATAAACCAAATATGTTCCTGCATAATTAAGCATTGGCCAAGCACAGGAAAACGGGAATGGTTCCCAGCGTGTAGAAAAGGGAGAATGTTTCTGCATCTGTGCCACGTTCTCCCGTGATGTGCTGGCAGCCCAGGAGTTAAACACTGTCCGCAAGTTACTTTGCTCCAAGGGTATAAAAGGAGCCTCCATCGCTTTGGTTCCAAACCTCGTGTTTGAAATGCGCTGTGTCTGCCCTAGCAGAGCGCTCAGGAGACAAACTGCTTGCATGCTAAGTGAGGTAAGTGCGCAGCGCTGTCTCTGCTTCGGCTTTTTGTGAGGAATGACCACCGATCCCAGTGCAGGATAGCGATAGTTTACTCTTCAAACTGCTGTGGTGTTTAAATTCAACAGAGCACGACTCGGAGCGTGAGCTGTTCCTTCTGACGGCATGCGCATGGCACCTCTGCTGAAGGACTGGGGTCAAAGGACGGTGCAGACCTTCTGGTGCTGTACAACACAGCTCTGCTGCTTTGTTTAATACATTACTTACTGTGACCGAATAGCTGACAGCCTGAACTACAACAGGAGGACAGCTGACTTAAGTGAACACTCCATCTATTAACTCACTGTGAGGTTCAGCAAGCATATATTGCAATGTACAGAGCAGCGTTTGTAGGAAATGTGTCCCTGGTAGAATTTGGGTGGATAAAGCCTATGTTTGGCTCTGTTTTTACACACACGGGATCCATCAATCTGGGTTATGAGACCCCCCACAGACCCTCACCAAACAGTCACTGGGGTATCTTCTTATTAAACTAAATTGTTCAATAGATGTTCCCTATTCTCTTACAGTGTAACATTTTTTATCATTTTTTATGTTTATATTGTGTGCCAGACGCCAATTTTGAACAATTCTGTCATGAATATCAGTAAAGCTGTTTGTTTTTTAATCTAAACGTTTCAGTCCTCGTAACAGAAGCTATGGCTGCTGTTTAGCTTGAGTTTCCATTCTGAAAACCCATCGGAATGCTTTCTGAACTGGCAGAAGTCCTTGGCTAAGTTGCTTTCAGGGAAGAACACAACTTTTGTCCCATTGTGATCGGCTTTGATTTCCCTTTTTTTTCTAAGGGGCTGCAGAAATGAGAAGGGTCGTAGAGATCTGTGTTAGCAGATCCCAAGACACATCTAGAGCCAGGAACGCTAGGTAAATTGTAGCTGTGCTGCACTTTAATTTCAGCTGTTGTTCCTTCCAAGCACTGCTCTGATAGTCTGAAACAAAGGTCATACAAGACAGCGTGCTTTGAGGAACTCAGCTGTTCGTGCTTTTTTAGATGAAAGCACTTCATGTCTCAGCATTATGTGCTGGTCTCTGATCTAGAGCCAAGATATGATTCATATTTTTCTGTTTTTACTCACTTTAAATCATTCTGCTCATACGTCCGGTAATGTTTTTGAAACTTAAAGTGTACACAAACGGACTTGTCACAACGAGCGTGCAAGTCTTTTCACTCTTTCATTAGCAGAGTATTTACCTGTACCTCATATATTAATAGAGAATGCCTGGAGAAGTTAATTTTTGAATTGTGTAACAGTACAGTAACAGAGTGGGAGGATTACTAAATATGGGAAATGAAGGGAGGGCTCCTGGGGAGGGAGGAGAGTCGGACCAGCACCGCCCCGCCTTGCAACCGGAATCTGAAACTTAGAGAAATGTTAATTCTCTTTCATTCCCGTCTGACCTAAACAGACATAAAGAATTTCCTATTAAAAGAAAAATATATTTCTTTTTCAGAGATACGAGCTTTACTTCACTATTGTTTTCTTTTGCTTTCAGCAATTCTTAAAGCTGCTGAAAAGCATGACTTCCTGTTGTGTTGTTCCAAAACCTCCAGTAAGAAAGGTTGCTATCTTTGGAGGAACTCATGGCAATGAGTTATCAGGGATATTTTTGGTCAAGCACTGGCAAGAGAATGGAGCTGAGATTCAAAGAGCAGGAATGGAAGTGAAACCATTTCTCACCAACCCAAGAGCTGTGAAGAAGTGTACTAGATACATTGACTGTGATCTGAACCGTGTTTTTGACCCTGATAATCTTGGGTAAGAATAGTTGTACTTTCTGTTGTTTTAATTTTCTGTTTTTTTTAAACTGCAAGGAGCTTCCTTTCCAGATTAAAACACTGATGCAGGTTCCACTTCTGTGTTATCCAGGCAGTCACATAACTGAAATTACTGACCTTTTACCCAAAAAGAACAAATTGTGTGTGTTGTTTCATTTTAAAACTTGCTGGTAGTCAAACCAACACATAACACCTAAACAGAGTGTTTTAAATCTGTGTGAGGATAGCTGTGCTTGTGTAAACTTAAGTTGCTGTTTGGAGTTGCAAAGTCACTATTTCTCATGCCTTCTTGTGCAATTCAGCCTTGGAGCTCTTCTGAATACAGTTATGAAATATGAAAACACAAAGCAATTTAGATGCAGACTTCAGTATATAAAAGGTGACATGCAAGGTGGGAAGTGTATTTAATTACAGTCATATAGGATAAAAGACAAAAACTTGAAATTGTAAGGTAGAAATAAAGCATTCTATGGCAAAATGTCAAAATTCAATAATTTATCTGTCTCCTTGTTTTAGAAGAAATGAAATCTATAATTGCTGTACAGTGGTAATTGAGTTTACTTTTTAATGGGATTTTATGTTTCTCTGCTTTTGAGACATCTCTGCCAGAGGTGTACTTTGTTGTGTTCTTTAATGACTGGGATAGCTGCAAGCTGAAAGGGTAATTAAGTATCAGAAAAGCCTTAATTGTAAAACCAAATATTACTGAGAGAAATAGGTGTCACATTTATTTTGTAATCACGGTTATTCTTACCCTGAATGCCTTCTCACCTGGCTTTTCATCTAACAGTTTTGTCGTTGGATATTATATGTGAGATGGACAGACTGTTTAACACAGAAGTGTTAAGACCATTCTTTCATTGCTTACTTACATGTTCCCTCTACAGACAGGAAGCCAGTGGTCTCAGACCACTTCTTACATGCCAGTACAGGCTAGTCTGGTACCTGAGACTGGAAGCATTAAAACTTTAGAGGAAGGCATTTGAGGTGGCAAAATCTTCTTTAAGGTTCAAGAGGTTTAGAATCAACAGACTGTAAGATAATCTGAGCAGAACATGAGAACATGTTATGAAAGAGCTTGTAAATGAGTTCCAAGGTAAAAGGGCATGAACCCGTATCAGAATACCTCTTCAGTAGAGGCTGAACTCAGGCTTGAAGGGTGGCTGAAGTTGTTGATAAATTTTGAGTTAGTTTTCTGCAGAGGGAAATGCTGAGATGCATGTACTAGAAGTAAATGCAAATAAATAAGAGAAGCACAAAGCCTATTGCAAAAATCAGGTTAAAAAAATGTAATACCTTTCTGCACAAGATACATAGCAGTGAGATTGTTTTCCACTAACAGTCATACTTACTTTGTTCAAGCACAAACATCACGTTTGAAGCCAGGTAATGTAATAGGCAGTTATGGAAGTACAGTGAAAGAAAAGGATGTAGATATTTTGTTGAATGTAAAGTCATGAAATGAGTTGATTGATTTGTTTGTACTAATATTAACAGACAGACAGTGGTGGAAGATATTCCATATGAAGTGAGAAGGGCTCAGGAAATCAACCAAATATTTGGTCCAAAAGGTAGTGATGATGCCTATGACCTTATTTTTGACCTTCACAACACCACTGCTAACATGGGTGGTACCCTTATTCTTGAGAACTCCAGGGATGACTTTACAATTCAAATGTGTCATTATATCAAGGTAAAACTACTTTAAATGAACTATTAAAACAGATTACTGTTTGCAGTGTACGACTATATATTATGTCATTTCTTCAAATATTCTATTTTTTATGCAGCAAAACTGTTTTAAATATATAATCACTGATGCTTTTTTAAAATCAGAGGTAATTAATAATTTGATTATAATATCAGGTAATTCAGATTTCAACTCATCGTAATCTTCATGTATTAAAATGACTGTAGTAAGATTGATGGGCAGGGAGCAATGCTTAGAATAACAACCATGAAAATAAATGTAGTTTAATCTGCTTCCACACTGATCTGTCAGGGACTGGGATAAATTTGGGTCACGCATGCTAAATAGTTAGACATTAATTTTATGAAATAAAGACATGGAAAAAGTAATGGAATTAAGTAATGACAAATGTTCCCTTCATCACTATTTATAGGAACAGCGATGTGTCTTTGAAACCTGTTTGGTTCTGCTGTTCCTGGAGCTGATAAATAATGGCAGAGTGAGGTTTGCAGAAGTGCTGTTGGCCCAGAAAATGAGTAATTGGAAAAGAGATCTGCAATAGGATTCTTTGTTAAAAAAAAAAAAAAGAGGCTGAAAAAGAAAAGGCTTAATTCACAATCTCTATCCACACAAGATAATCTAAACATAACAACAACAACGAGAAAGATCTGCCTAGAAATCTGCTTTAAAGTATTTAGATTATAAATTCTGCAGCACTGTTGAGTACTTTTCCTGTTAGCAATTTAAGAACAGAACTGAGTTCATTTATATTAGGAGACAGCAAAGTTCATTGGACCATGCCTGGCAAGAGTTAATGGAAAGGAGACCAACAAACAGAGCTTTGTGTGTTTTCTAAAGATGTCCTACTTCTTTGAGCACCATGAAATAAAGGCAACATATTGAACACATTGTGTAAATCACTTCTGCATCAGTAGTCTTTTTGTGGCGCAACATTTTTAAATATTTGCATAACAAAACCATTTTAAAACAATCTCCACAGAATGCTTTGGCTCCAGAGCATGTTCCTGTTCTGCTGATTGAACATCCTCACTTGAAATATGCAACAACCCGATCCGTAGCAAAACATCCTGTTGGTAAATATGAAAGATAAACAGCATTTTTAACCTATTAGAAATTATCTAAAAATATGTCTGTTTCCAGATCAGTTCATTATGTTTTACAGAGTGCTCTGATCACTAATTGCTGTTTGTTTGACAATGCATTTACAGAATCAGATGTTTATGATTTTCTCATCTAAAGAGCACTGATCTGTCATTTGGCATACAAAGCATTGGATGCTAGCCAGGAAGGGGAATAGAAAATATGCAGTAAAGGAGAAAATGACATTGTGCATGAAAGTTGTCAACGTTTACATTTGTAGAAACAGAACCATAATCACAGGCAGGGAGGAAAAAAAAAAACAACATTTGCTTTTCATGATTCTCTAAAACACATCATGGAAAGAAAAGATGAGAAAGAGAATAAGGGAAAGGAGCATACAGGGTGACTCTCACATCCTGGTAGCACGCTCAAAAATGGTGATATGGTTCTTTGAACTGATCCTTACTCATGAGCTACATTTCTATTTGCCTTCCAAATAACAGAATGTAGATTAAAATCCGTCTTAACGATAAAACTCAGACACAGTCAGACGTGTATTTTTCCTGTGTTATCTAAGCGTGATGTATTACAGCTATCTTAATAATCTCCCTCATCTGTGAACAGGTGTGGAGGTGGGGCCTCAGCCACAAGGTGTTGTTAGAGCTGATATTTTGGACAAAATGAGGAAGATTGTCAAACATGGCCTTGATTTTGTTCACCTTTTTAATGAAGGTAGAGTAAGTAATGCAAGCTCCCTGCCTCACGTCAGCGCGTTATTTCAAGAGAGTGTTTTTTCCTAAAGCAGGTTGTTCTGCAGCTCTCTGCTGCTAAACAGGTAACACTGCGGGATGCAGGGGTGGGCAGCTCTCCAGGTCACCCAACTGTGGCATGAGAAGGAGGTCAGAACAATTCCTGCTCCATCTTCTTTAGGCAGCTCTGAGGATATTACTCAAAAACTCAATAAGTACACTTGATTTTAAAATTGCTTTGAGAATCAGAAACAGCAGCTCACTATTTCTGTAGCAGTATGTACACTGAGAACGCTGCATGCATAAATTAAGAAGCGTTCCATTCACATGCCTGCTGTGCATTATTTCAAATTATAGTCAAGAAATTTTGTAAGATATTGTTTTTATCTGCGCAGTATCGAAGGTATGGATTGACAAAAATGAAAATTCTTTTGGATTACATTTGTCAATAAGTTCTGTTTGGATGTAGAAGGAAAAGAACTTAGCTGTGTGTGTGCCAGAATCTACATTACTGTGCTGGAGTGGTAAAGATTAAACAGCACCAACACCTTCCACGTTACGCAGCAGTACCAAACACAGCCTTGTGCTGACTTACTCATCACAGAATAAATCTTCCTAGGTATACAGTGAAAAGCCTTATCTAGCACCACTGATCTAATTTAGATCAGGGTTTCAAATGCAACAAAATGCAATACATGACAAGATCATCTTTCTACAGCTTGGATTCTAGGGAAAGAAAGACGTGGATCTACACATTTTTATGATGTATGAGCTAATCACCAGCGTGTAAATGTTGACACTGTACAACCTAATAATTTAAACTATTCTACAGTGAATTAGGAATGCATTGTGCTTTCTAACAAACAGTTGTTCATTCTGACATTAAATTGCATTTATTCTTTCTAGGAAAAGAATTTCCATCATGTACAATTGAGGTTTATAAAATAATGGAGAAAGTAGATTATCCCAGGAATAAAAGTGATGAAGTTATTGCTATTATTCACCCTAACCTGCAGGTAAATTTTATAGTAGCTTCCATCTACACCATTTTTAAGTGCTCCTGTGTTGCTTCTGCTACATTATAGTATATAGTAAACAAGCTATTTATCATGAGACTATTGCTAATGGGGTTTACCAAATGCTTTAGACCTTCCCCATAGTAAGCTCCATCACTGAGGTCATACAGTATTTCAGGAATTGATTTGGGAATCACTGAATGTGAAATCATTTTTGAATCTAAAACTGAAAAGAAAACAACAATAGGATAGCTTGTATTCTAAAATGCAGATCTAATTCTGAATTCTGAAGTGAAAGTCTGTTTTTAATTAATTGTGAGCGAATGCATTTTCCTTTTAGTTCAACCTCACCAGTGAATTCTATGCAAGCCTGAAAATGAGTGCCAAAATCCTGAAATTGTGTTATGAAAATTAAAAGGAATGATTTTAAAAGCTTTTGCCATAAACTACATTGAGAAAATAATTACTGAGCATAAATTTAGAAATCACCTTTAGAAAGTTTTTAAGAAAAAATGAAAGTAAATGTATTCTATTTATTTTCTTTATCTAAGGATCAAGATTGGCAGCCACTGAACAATGGTGATCCTCTATTTTTGACTCTTGATGGAGAAGTAATTGCATATAAAGGGGACTGTACAGTCTATCCAACATTTATTAATGAAGCTGCGTATTATGAAAAGAAACAAGCTTTTGTAAAAACAATTAAAATGGAACTGACTGCAGAACACATCAGATCCTCAGTCGTAGATCAGAACACCTCTTAAAAGCTCATGACAGGTTTTCCATACAAGAAGTGGGTTTTTTCTCTGTGAAATCCAGTATCATCCAGTGGTTATTCACAGGCTTAATAAATTCAGAATCTAATTTAAAAATGTAATTTAATTAACATTTTGAGAACTTTTAATGTGAAATATATTGTAATAAGATAGTGTCATAATGCTAATTATGGCTTCTATTTACTTGTTTTAATAATCACTATAGATACAAAGATTATTTTTATGAAGTTTGATAGTTCATGCTATATAAAAGGATTAAACAATGTACCACATATGCTGATGAGTAGCAATAAAGCATCTATCCAGAATTACATAGAAAGTAAAACTTTATCACCCAGCTAAATGATATAAAAATGACAGCATTTTAATTTGGTAAGCAGAAACATCCAGTAATCAACCATTTATAAATTAATTGTTCAGCTGAGCCATATAAAATGTGAGACAAAGGAAACAAGAGAAAGAAAGAAACACAGAGAGGGGATGTGTGTTATTAATGCCTGCTGCCCAGAAGTAGAGGCCTTAGGGTTTGTTTTGGTTTTGTACTTAAGAAGAATAATCTAAGAACATGATTTCCAAGGAAGAAATACACTAAAATAAATTATGTTTAAATTGAAATTATTACAAGATTAATTAAACTGTTCCCGATTTATCTTTTAAAGACAAAAAGGGTTGAATTTAAGAAGTTTCCAGTAGTCTGAAAGATACTGAAGCCATATTCTGGTAAAAAGAAGTGCATATCCAGTGAATAAATTCAGAAAGCACTCAATAATTAGTTGTTTACTGAAAGATTCATCGTCCACATAACCCCCCAAAAATATCTACTTTGAAGAGTACTAAGCCAAAATCTTTTTAGCATCCTTTGTGTAACTCTATAGCAATAAAGTAAAAATACAGGACAGAAGGAGATGCTTATTAAATTACATGTTTTATTTCTTTATATTCAGATAAATATTGAATAAAAACTACAGATTGATCTGCTGCAGTCATTATAGTGTTCTTGATAAAAGCCTTGAGATAAGAGATGCTTGGATGCGTGTTCTGGCAGGACTCTGTGGCAGAAAGCAGGGTATTTTCTCACTGAATGACTTTCAGATAAAATTACCCCTGCCTCCTACCTCAGTATTATCACATAGCTTTGGACCTGAACGTGGTTAAGGAACATTCCTTACAATTTTTTGTGCCTTCTCTGTTTATGGCTGTGCCTACAGAGTGACCTCAGTACAGAACAGAGACATCTGAACCTGTTTTCAGCCACAAGTCTATCGGTAGCAATATGGAATACAGTGCAGACTGGTTTTCTTCCTGGTTCCTGAGTTATGTGATGAGGTATTTTTTTGGTACAAAAACTGGCACTTAAAGAGTCCAAGCAGAATGGTGTAGTCCTATGGCAATGTTCTTTGTTGGGAATTCCAATGCAAAATTAACCAGCAGAGATGAAAGTTTCCGGGAAGAAAGGAATTTTTCTTCTCATACTCACGTATCCTACTAAGAAGGTGAAACTATTGACACTCATGAACGTCCTTCCTCTATAATTCCTATGCACTGTAAAAAAAGTAACTGAAGATTTCAGTTCGATCCCATCCATCCGGGCCATGCATGGTAGCAAACACAGGATAGGGCATCTACAGAAGATGAGTTGGTAGAGAGAACCGTGTTCACCATCCCTGCAAACTGCTTTGCACTGTCCTTTCTGCTGCAGAGTTCACTCATGCTCTCTTCTGTGTTAAGAAAGTCTTTGGGATCAGTTTGCGCACTTCAGGCTTAGCTGTAAGAATTCAATGCAATTCACATTATCATTCAAACACAGAACTGAATTTACCTGAGCGTTTCCTAAATAGCACCTTTAAAACAGGCACCAGAGGAACACACACATGAAGAAAACCCAGGACAAGGAAGACATGTATTGTATTAATTGAAATCTGAAGGTATGCAGAGCAAATTTTTTTATACATACACAAATAAAATTGAAAACAACAACAACAACAATTTATAATAGTAGGCCATCACAAGTAACAAAATAAGGAGTGCTACAGGAATGCATTACACAGTCCTGTGAATAAAAATCAATAAATAAAATAGAAAGTCTGCAAAAGCACTGTATTTCACTTGTTTTGTTTTTGTGGGAAGAAATGCTGATTTCTAATTTTTCTGAAGTAGTTGAATGTAGAAATTAACTAAACCTGAAATCTTCTAACACAGTAGCTTTTACACAGGATGCACGAGTGTGGAACAGCCACGTAGCAATTGGAAAAATAAAAACACTGACTTAAAAAAAAATATTCTCCATCATGTTTCTGCCCCCATCATTTTATGGGAAGGCATTTGTACGAATAACGAATAAAAATCAGTGAAGTGCACATTACACTGCAGGCATCAGACACAGGAAGACAGATCACAAAGCTAAGGAGCCCCAAAGAGGCAGTTTGGGACAGAGGCTTCCTGCAGCTTGCAGGATAAGCCTCCAATAACACTGACAAGCAAAACAAAAAGTTGCAAATGTTTTCAGAACGTCGCTATTTCAAAATAACAGACTTCATTTAGCAGACCTATTGAAATGCCTTTCTTTTCTCCACGACAAGAGCTTTTTACAGTATACAAAATATTGCCTGGGAGTTAAAGATTCCAAAACAACAGACAGCAGATCAGGATCCCAAAGATCTTAATTTTCCACAAAAGGAAGAAGTATCTCACATCTGACACTTTCAGCAGTCTAGAGTCAAGTTTCAGCAGGCATATGAACTCGGACAGCAGCAGTTTTCAAGCTTAAAACTGAACCACAGCAATAGTCCATTTTACTGTAGCTTAGCTGCCCTGATTAAATGGGTTCAAGTCACCAGACCACGTCACTGAATGCTTGTGCTCCAGCTGGCTACAGCTGTCCAAAATAACAAAAAACCTTCCAACATCAGCCGCTGATGCTTTTAACTTTCCAAACATCTACATCTCAAACACAGAACAACTAAAGAGAAGTTTCAGGCAAATCATCCATTTCTTCAAACGTATTCAAGGTGTTTTTGCTATTAGTTCTTGAATTATCTTGAACTTTGCTTGGATCTGCAAGAAAATGCATTATAAACAAAACAGGATATGGTAGAAACTGTATTTGTGAGATCAAGCTTTGGCACATCTAATTTATGTTAAAAAACACACATTTATTTAAACAGCAAGTTGTCAGTTTGCTACCATATCTTATACTGAATGTTTTCTTTCTGCTTCTCTTCTTTATTACTGAAAAAATTCTACTCCACAAGTACAAATGCTAATTGACTAAAGAGCAAACTTCAAAACACATCTCAGATCCTCACATGCCCCATTGTAAACTCTGACGCCTGCTGCTAGAAGGACATCTGACACCTCCGAGTTCAGTCATGTCTCTATGACACTTCCAATACTCTCAGCAAATGGCTGTCTTGAATTTCCTGGTTAACATTCATGAGGAGCAATTTGTCATCCAGTACACATCCCAAACAAACAGGAATGTTGTAGGGCTGAAATACAGCAAACTACACTTTTGTTAGGTAGAATCAGTCTCATTTCTTGCCACACCTTGCAATGCCGTATGTAACGACTCAGGGAGTAAATCAATGTACTTTGCAACACCTTTTCCAGAACAAAATATGCTGTCTGTTAAGAAGTTATTCAGCCTTATGCCATTCAAATGCCATAAGAAAATGTAAAATTTAGATCAAGAATAACTGCTTAGAGAAAAATAAATCAGCTACACCCACCATGTTTCAGTGCTGAGGAATAAATAATGAGAGTTGTAGCTAAACCTCTCTCCAAATGGTTTAAGACCCCTATCATGTTAGCCTAGCAGTAAGTAGAGCAGTTGTATATCAAGGTTATGTACACTTACATTCTTAAAGGTGGAAAATTACATCAAAGGATTTCTAAGGAAAAGGGATTTCATAAATAAGGTGGTGTAAAGCTAAGCAGTACCTGTTGGCCCTGGATCTTCATTAATAAACGAAACGTGTGTTTTCCACTCAGTCCATCTCACTTCATTAATCCTGTTTGCATTGTACATGAATTGAGTCATTAGTATACATTATCTCCCAGCTACATAGTTGCACTTCCCCTTTTATTTTCTCACTCCTTGGGATTGCCACGGTTTGCCATTAGCACCTGCCCTACTAATACTGAAAAGTACTGCAATGAGTGCCTTTTGCAGTGTTATGTATCATATGCAGATGGGAACAGTACTCAGATCATTCTGCAGTTTCACACATTATGAGTACAGTCTCACATTACATAGAAGAGTATTTTTCATTAAACAGCACAATATCATTATGTTCAATATGATAATCATGTCAATTAGCAGTCAATTCTAAATATAGTTTCTTTTAAGCTAACATTTGGAGGTGATTATGATAAAAATGACATCTCCTGCAATAAGAGCTTATACTTGTACACTAAAAACATATCTGAGGTTCAAAATCTATTTTCTTATTAAAAATTGTTAACACCAAAAACCTTTTCTGTTAAGAGCAGGAAATAATTTGCCAAAATACACAAAATATTTTAAAGAGTCTTTGGAGGAGAAATAACCTTGAAGAGGCACATAGAGCAGAACAGCACAGTATTCAAACTTTACCTTAAGCAGACCCTTGTGTCGTTCTCAGCCACTTTACACCGCTCTCCCAGTTGGAATTTTTTCCTCAAAGATTTTGGTAAGAATTTTTCAAATTCCAAAATGGTTCTGGCTCTCTATTAACAATGAACAGTAACAGAAATGTGGTTAACCATATTCAGAATCTTCTGACTTTGTAGCATACACAGAGTTATGTCACAATCTTCATCCACCATCCGTGATCAACAGAGACAGAAGTAAATAACGTGTTGCAGATTTCTTGTCAGACTATGAAATACACCTTCCTGGTGACACATCCAGGGGAATTAAAGTCACAAAGGTACATAGGGACAGTGCATGAGGTTGAAAATCTGACACACAAGATTGGCTTTAGGGTAGCTGTAAATTGTGAAGTTGATACTCTTACACTAAACCTACAGATTTTCATTATTTGTACATACATGCAAATAGAGATTCTCATTGTTAACACCCATCCCTTCTATCAGTGTGATAAGTGACAAAAGCTACAGCTTAGAAGACCTGACCAATGCTTCTATACTTCATTAAGCAAGCTAACCACAAACAAACCTGGAGTTTCCAGATGTGCTCACTCTCTTTAGAAATATCTTCCACTGTTTCTCCCATTAATGCAATCAGCATGTTCAAGAGAAGAACAAAAGTCAACACAACATAAGTTATGAGGAGCAGAAGAAATAGCACAGGATACTTGGAATTTTGCTGGATCTCCAGATCACCCAGACCTAAGGTGAGCTTAAAAAGATCCATCAGAACAGGTCCCAGACTGCTGTTGGAATGGCATTCGCCACCATTTTGGCAAGTTTCAATCAATGCAGCAAGAGCTGAAAAAAAAACATGAGACAATTTTTATCACAATAATGCTTCGTGTATACATTGCATTTTAATCTAAAGAATTCAAGATGCATTACATAATAAAGAGCTACAGCTACCCAGCAAGGTACACAGCAGCAGCTAGATGACAGGTAACCAAGAGGAAGCAGAAAGAGCCCACGTCCAAATGAAATTGCAAACAATTGAGCAAGAGCCAAATTACTTATCTGTTCAGATAGTCTCTAGGCAGAGTTTAAATCTCTAAACAGGACTTTTTAATTTCCAGAAGAAACCCCAACATGAGCTCTCATCATGATACCAGGGTTCTTAGTCATAAGAATGCCAAAATTTTTACTCACACAGAGCATCAGTGCTTTTCTCCAGTGATATTTACCTACGCCAAATCCCAGCAAAAACACGATATAGACAACTAAAAATTTTATCACATCGTTCAGGATGACCTAAAAATTAAATCAAATATTCATCAGGAATTAAAATTGAGAAGTAGTTTTATGCTTATGTATCTGCAGGGATACAGGTGTGATGCACACTGCAGCATCAGATCATTCTCAGTAGGCAAAGTGATCGCAGCCTCCATGGGAAATCCAGAGGAAATTTAGGTCTGAGATTGTTTTCTAATCTTGTGGATGAGAGCCTGATGAGTTGTGTACTTCCAAGAGTGACAGTAAGTGCACAACACGGGTATTATAGCATGTGATGCAATTAAATAGCAGAACTCTTTTAGCCCACAAACTACTCGTATATTTCATAAAATAAAATCTTGACCTTTAAGATATAAGCTAATTTCTGCTATTCAGTCATAGGGTAGATTTTATATATTATATTTCAGCAGAATAAAAAAAAAAAAAAGAAAATTCGATATGAATTATACACGTGAATTGTTGCACATGCTTCATTAGGATTGTATAGATAAGCAAGCACCAGGTAAAAAAAATAAAATTAAATACTTGCCTTTTGAATCATAACACTGTAGATTCCCATGGACTGGAAACCTCTGGTGAAATAGAGCATATTAGCCCATCCCAGGGCCATTGCCAAAACAAGACACACCAGGTGTTCTTTGTAGGAAAACAAGTACAAAAAGACAGAGAAGATCACAAGCATAGCTTGTATAAAACTGTTAAAAAAAACACATGTATGTAGAAGGAAAATTACTAGCACAAAACCAATAGCATCATGGAAAAATATGAAAACAACTGCTTCTTAGGCTTCAACTCCACTTTCATATTGCTTTCCATTCTCCCCTACAAACATAACCAAAATAATCTAACAATAAAGTAAATGAGTTAAAACCTAGGTATGTTAACATATAATGACTATCCTTATTAAAGCTTACTTTAATTAAACTCTTCTCCCCTGGACAGCAGTTCAATGATTTTGCTAACAGAGATATTTGGAATCAACAGAGTTTCCATGAGCCTCTCTGCAAGAACACAGAGAACACGCAGTGCATTCTCATAGGATGCAGACCAGACTCTGGCAGCACAAGACTGGAATTAGAATGGCTGTAGAGTTAAGCTACCTGTTTTTATTGATATATGATCTTATTCTAGAAAGGAGAGGAAATCCCCTGTGCTTTATGAAAACCAGCTGATGGGATACTGCCACTAGCCAGCTGAACTGGCTTTACGTTGTATTTTCTTCCAGGAAGAGTTGAAAACTAGATTTAGTTTATTAACCAGGTTTCTTAAATGTATTTGTCTATATAGAGCATGAAGAGATGAAGCATGTGAAAGAGATAAAAGACAGTACTGCACTTTGTGAAAAACAGTACACATCAATTCCCAGTACTATTATTGACCAGTGAAAGCATTAGCATGTGCTAAGGAAAAGCTGCATGGAAGATTACATCCATCTCTCTGAAAACTGATAATCTAAAGAAAATTGTGCATCTGCTCAAGGAATCATTCCCTGCAACCACGGATTAGATACATAGTGTATAAAATATATGCATGACAGACTTACAATGCAAAGTGGAACCACGCATCAGAAAGAATTGACTGCAGGTCTGAGGGCCTGAGCAGAAAGATGGCTACACTCTACATCACGAGATAAAGAAAAAACACAGAAATGGAAGTAAGAGAAAGCAGGGGTCAAAATCAGTCTTTCGAAATCATGCATCTGAAGTTAATCTTCTATAGAAATATCTCTTTGTATCTGTTATTTAAAAGTCTCACCTCTTTTATGGCTAAAAATATGGCTCCTAACATAACCATCACCTGTCCTGATAACTGCAGCCATCCCACACCACGTGTAAGAGCTAGTGGATAAGGTGGAGCCTGCAAGACAAAACCAACATGAAAGACTGAGTTCCATATCTGAAGGGTAAAAGGCAAAGGAAGTAGAAGCTTCATGTATGTAGCTCTCTGAGTAACCAATTTAACTATCTGTCTTTTTGTTATGTAGCTTTCAGGTTACTTTCGCAAGTAACTTCTACAACTCTTCCTTCTAGGTAAGAAAACTTGATGTGGGAGAGCCTGGTCTCAACATAGTCTGATATTCTGATACATTTTGGGGCACTTTTTTATTTTTTATTTTTATTTGCCAGCATTTAAAAAATAAACCAGAAAACACTATTGCGTTTTAAAGCAGTAAAACCTGTTTAAGTTACTGTACTCACTTCATTTTCATTAGGCCTGTGGTAGGAAACTAATGTCAGAGTTATGTTGTACAGAAAATAAAAACAACATGACATAAAAAGCATGTGTCGTGCAAATTTCTTCCATTTCATTCGCAGGAGTGAATTAAGGGGCTCTAATGTCAGCATTTCATGACGATTCTGTAGAAAGAAGAAAAAAATCTCCTAAGATTTGAAATTTCCACTAGTAAGAAAACTGAGATAATATGTGCATTTTATGAATAGGCAACTTACACCGATATTTGTGTTGTAGACAATAATTTCCAGTACTGAATTGTCTGCAGTGGTATCTAGTTCTGTCAAATCATAAAGAGAAGATTGGACGGGACCATAAGCCCAGTCTGTGAATTTTCTTGACAGGCTTCTGTTGGGTTTCTCTCTTATCTCTCTGCTGAGGATGTATTTCAGAACCTAAAAGATGAGCAGAATTGTTGGTTACCAAATGCATTCTTCAGGGAACTGAGAAAGTATACATATACACTTGTCAAAACCAATACCTTTTAATTCTCATCTTTTTAGTGTAGTGTAATTTAATACATCCATGATTCTGTCATTAAATAAGTGCTGTTAGAGATCACAAACATCTAATAAATAAATACAGTGTTCTTAATGTCTCTGGATTTTCTGTCAAAGAGATATTTTTCTAAAAAATGAAAGCATAATTTTCCAGGTGTTCACATTTATAACTTGATCAATTACTCTCTAAATCATCACATTGTCAACTCATTACCACAAATACACAGATGATCTATGAGGAACAAATGCAACAGCAGCATAACAGAGCAGTTCTGGAAAGTCTTCTAAAATGATTTGAAGATTTTGTATTGTTTAAGAGTAGTTTCATAATAAATGCAATATTTCCGAGTTCCTGTACAACAGAAAGGTTTGAAAGGCTGTTTTTAATAGTATATATACTATATATATATTTTCTACAAAGAGGTATTCTTAGAGGAAAACCTTGCAGGGTAGAAGGAACATTGCTTACATTTTGAACCCTATTAGCTCAGTGGTATACTGGTATAATACTGGTATACAGTACAGCATAGCAAGCATGGAGAACTACATTCTAGAGCACTAAAATCTGAGTGCATGGTTGGTCTCGATGCTTTCTCCATACTTAAATTCTCTTAGATACTACTGAAATAATACCCACCTCTAACTTCCCAGTTTTTGCAGCTAATTGTAGAGGTGTTAAACCCTCTTTGTTCTTCACTTTTTCCAAATTTCTGTCTTTACTTTTCAACAAAATCATATCGTACATTCTGATTACAAAGTCATTCTGAGTTTTAAAGTCCTCTGCAACAGTAACTAATGCGTGGAGGATATTGTTTCCTCTGGAATCCTGAGAAGCAATGTTGGTCCTGGTGTTGTCCATTAACAGCTCAATTATATCTGGTTGATTGGTACATGCAGCTAAAGCCAGTGCAGTTTCACCTACAAAATCATAACATGCAACACGTGTTCAGTTCTTATTACAGGTAATCAAACTGTTATTATAGGAATGATTGTATTAAATATCTTCGTATTTAAAAGCATGTATCAATATAGATTAATTTTAATTTAGCTCCTGGTTTAGAAAAACTTAATTTGCATAAAAACATTTGGAGACAATCTTCAGATTCAAGTTTGTGTCACTTCATTTGCCATTCAGCATTTAGCAATTGTCTTACAAATATATCTGAGTGTTAATAACACACTGGACTCTAGCAAATCTCTTTACAAAAGGTACTGTGCCATTTTTCCGTCCTGTGATACTACTTTCTTAATCTAGGTTTCAGTGACAGCAATGATCCGCACTTGCCTGCTTTCTATGCTGTCTTACTTGTCTGGATATTCCTTTCTAATTGTTGCAGAAATCCCATTTCTACTTACCAAAATAAAAGCCTTCATGTTTATGTTTGGGATTAAAGAAAATACCCTGGGCGTGAGCGTTGACATCAGCTCCTTTTTCTATAAGAGTCTGAGTGATTTCAAACTGTCTTCTTTCAATGGCAATATTTAGTGCTGTCTGGCCTGAAATATCAGACATGGGTATTTAGTGTGAAATCTTATGGTGTTATGATTACTGATGGCATTTTTAGCTACATGCCTCAAAATGTATCAGATGACAGTACCTTTATACGCCTCTTCTGTGTATGCTGCATTGATAAACCTCTCCAAAATACCATTTTCTTCTGCAAAGGATAGTAGCATGTTCACTATCTCATTTGTGTTGTTGTTTATGTTCAGTAGAGCTTTCATCAGACAAGTTTTCCCAGTATCTGAAGCTGTGAATTTTTTCATTAGATAATCTGAAAGAGTAAATTTTGAGATTAGATCATGGAGCCATCAGTATTTATTAAGTTAATGGAAAACAGCTTGAATCTTTTATTTGTAGCAGAGCCTGAGGGATACATATGAAAAGAAATTATTTGGTAAACAGTTACCCAGACACTCTGTATTTGAGCTATGTGTACTTTGTGAGATGATACAGTGCTTGCTTTCTTTTCCAGCTATCCCACCAACACAAATCCAGACAAATCCAAATTCTCTTCTTCTCTGCCTGCTCTACCATGCTACACACATCACAAACAGTGGCTATGCCACAACCAGGCTGACTGTAGTAAGGACAGAGACATCAGTTTTGAGTCTTGTACTGCAGAAGCTAGCTCAGGTATGGCTGTGGGAACACAGTAGATCCCCAGGGTAACATAAATAAGAGACAAATACTCCCCAGTGTTGCTTCAGAGGCAGCAAGAAAGCAGCTGATTGAATATGCTTTCATTTAGAAAAAAGAAATGACATCCATTTGATTGTAATCAAATGACTTCAGCTTCACACACAAGTCACTGCTGCACTGAGGAATTTCCTAGTAGAATACACATGCACTGCCAGAAGAGGTAAGAGTCTTCCTTCAGACAACTCCACAGCTTACCTGGCACAGTCATGTTTGTACAGACATTTGATCTCTCCTTCAGCTCTGCAAGCAGACCTTGCAATTCTTCAATATTCCCCTCAGATACTGCCCAAAATAGGTATTTCTTCAGCTTCTTCCGGGCTCTTGTCTGCTCAGGTCCTTGTGCTATGTTAGCACTGAATGATCAAAAATAATAATGGAATTGCTGAGTCAGTTTACTTTATTTTCTACATACGAGGAAAAAGAAATACAATTACTTGCACCAGACTACATTGACTTGCCCCATTTCCATACAGGTGTCCCATATCTCTCAATATGTTTCTGTGCACTGCTTATTTGCTAAGAAAATGCTATTGAAAAGCAAAACTTAGAGTTATTTCTGAGTTTAATTACTGAATATTCAGAAAGGCGTATATGCCTCGTTTCTGGGAAAAAAAGAAAAGGCATGCACAATTGGTAATATCTACTCTATTATAGATTTAATCTGTAGAAAATACTTCCCCTCTCCACTCACCAACAACTGTCTACATTAGGGCTATATTCAGTCACATCATCCTGAAGAGACTGTGGGGAATCCATGTCTTCCCCATTTGCAGACGCACTGTAGAAATGAGAAAAGCACAACTGCTAAAACAGGAAGATATTGGAAGACATTTTGGCAAACTGCACAAAGAACCAGTCAGTACTAGGATTGTCTATTTCCAAAGGAGTGGCAAAAAGGAAGAGACTCACAGGATTTTATTACATTGACAAAATCCTGAGGAAAACAGCCTGTTTTGTGTTTTTTTACATTATTTCATTTGAGATCTTGAACCTGTGGGAGTTTTTTCTTCAGTGTTTGTTTAACACTTTTTGTGCAATATCTTCAGTGTTGCACCTTGAAACATACAGTCTGCCTTCCTCACACATTTGTCATCTGCCACAAAACAAGTGTTAAAGCAGTAATCTTGCATGGATTGCACAGAATGAATATGATTTAAAGATTTACTACACAATACACTGTAGGCAACTCGAGAACATCTTGCAGCTGACTGGAATGGAAATTTCAGCTAAAAGAAACTAAAGCCTGGGCTCTATATGCATATTTAGGTAATAAATTTAAAGGACTTCAGTGGCATTGGTATTTTGTAATTTCTGTATGCCATTTCTAGACATTCCTAAAAACAGATCTGACATGAGTTGATTGATAGTCATTTTTCTCACCTGTGTTTTTGTTTTCTATGGGATTTGGATTTGATGAACTCTCACAGGTTAATAACTTAGGGAGCCTGGACTATTAGTTATTGACAAGATGGATGTATGGACAGAATGCAAGGATTCAACACTGCTCTGCAGATATTTATTTGAAACAAAGCTAGAAGCTCAGGGTACATTCTTATTCAGTCCATCACTTCTCTGCAGAAAATCCAGTGACAAAGTGCATGTGTGTCTCATGCAGGTTTGTTCCTGAATGAGAAGAAAAAATCTGGGTACTTTTCCTCTGATACAACAATAAAACTGTCAACAATTCCAGAAAGCTGACCAGTCACCTATTAGACACAAAAACATTTGATAATTCTGAGCTTATTCTAGATTTGATTCATAATTCCCTAATTCATAATTCTGGCTTTGGGTACCATTCCAGTTTTTAAATATCTGATGCATTCTACCCACTCATAATTTTTCTCTACTCATCCAGCATAAATAACTGCTTTAAATATCTCAGACTCAACATTTTCATGTTGGTTTGTTGTTAATGAAAAACAGAGCGAGCACACAGAGCTGGGAATATGGCTTGCTAAATTAAACTGCTGTTTTCATATCAGAAAATTGGGTGCATGGAGTTTGTCCTCATCTATCACAAATAGCATATGCTTAGGAAGGAAAAGATAGCACTGATTTAAAATTTATTCATATTTGAGGCCTGATTTATTCAGTGTAAATGATAGCAGTACATACAGATAAATAATCCAGCAACAGTTGACCTCCAACAGAGTTCTGTCTTTGAAGTGATCAAAATCTATGCAAAACCATGTGAAATTTGAGCACTAAAGAGGAAGAAGGAGTAGCTGCTGAAAATGAAATAGATATACTTGCAGTATGACTAATGTACATGCATTGATAACTTACCATGGACGAATATTCGAATCCATTGGTTTTGAAAACACAGGGGGAGATATATTATTTGGAGTTGCATTGCCTTCAAAACCTTCAATCTCCAGAAAAAAATGTGAACTGTTGAACGTATTGCATTGAAAAATTATTAGTAAAAAAATCAAATTCAACCATAAGATACAGAATTCACTACATGTAAGCACCTGGAACAACACTGACAATTAATATTTTCTGACATCATACCTGTCTAACAGGATGCTGTCTACTTTTCCCTGGAAGTATCCCAGCCTCTACCATCAGTTAAGCACTTCCATTTTGGCTGATGGGCAAAAGATCCCAAGATATATTTAGAAGGCACAACATCAGATCCTGACATGTCTGAACATCAACAGCAGCAGCCTAAAAGAAGCCTCACATTGGACTTCTGTGCCCACAGCTGAACACAGCACCACCAGACACTTAGAAACAGCCAGACACGTATGCATAAACACTCACACATACATGCATATGCTTCTTCATCTATTTCTCCAGCCAGTACCAACAGAACAGGTCATTCCAAACGCAGTGATAAACAGCAATCCAAGTGTTAATTTCACTGTGTATAGCTGTTCAAACTTCATGACCTTTTAACATTTGAGATGTGTCAGCAAAGCATCCCTGAAATTACCTTGGCATGGGGTGCTTCTCAGAGTACGGGGAAAGTCTGGACAGAAGGAGGACCACTGCTATCATTTCTACCACACATGCTACACTCACAGCTGCTGTAATTCACCGTTGCTTCACTGGGATCTTAACTTGGCAGAAAAACTATGCAGTGAAAATGCCAAGGATTCATGCTGCTTTGTGCATTCCCTGACTATGATGTGCAGGATTTGTCCCAACAGGTAAAAGCTGTCAGAGGCTACAGTGCATTTTCAGAAATCCAGAAGTGCTGCTCTTCAGGCTTAGCTGGACTGTCTCAGCTGCTCACCCCAGGAGTGGTGTGCCACAGGTTGATATCTCTCCCAGCACTGTGGTTCATGTGGAAGATTTTGGCATGCAATAGCTGTACAGCAGCTATGAAGTGGTGCCTGTTTTGGAAGCCAACATACCTAGACTATACCAACATGTGGGTTATCTGGGGATACCATAGGGAAAAAAAACAAAATCCATAATGCAAAGCAAAGGGACAACTGCCAAAAAATACCCAAGTGCTTACGTGGCCATGGTGCACTGTCAGGAGCACTGCCCACAAACATGATCAGGTTCTGACAACGCTGGCAGTGCTCCTCCCATCCTGTCTCTTGGTTTTCCTGTACACATACTGTTAGCACACTCAGACACCAGGGGCTTCAGGAATGGGAAGTGATTGTATTTTCTTCAAGTATATATTGCCAATACGTTTGTCAAAGTGAGAAATGCTACCCATGGAGGTGCACTAGATGCTCAGTGGCACCATATGCCAGAAGGAAAAGTTCTGAACCTATAGAAGTACAGCAGCTTAGAAACATGTAATTAATAGAACACGTTAAACCACTGCATTAAAATTCATGTGATCTTCGTTCCTTATATTACAGGAATGTTGTTGGCCACACCCTGAGCTCCTGGTTGAGAGATGGCAAACCCCCAGGGTTACTGTTACTGATACCACAAAACAGAATAAGAGACAGGGGATTAAGTAATTAAGTGCAGTATTTGCCAGTATTTGTATTAACTATAAAATCTTCTATGGAACTGCCCCTTTTTGGAGTACCAGCTGCATTATGAGCTCTAAATACACCCCATCGACCCCTTCTACAAGCAAAGTGTAATGATTCGAACAGAGTTTCTCTTTTTGAATTTAATATTGGAAGGAGAAATTGGGCCAACCAGGCAGTGGGTCTCAAATAACTTGTAACAGCATTTCTGTAGAAAGTGATCCCTCTGATTATTAAGAAATTATAAATGTTAGAACAGCCACAATTGCCTGGGCCTTCACATGTTGCTATAATAGCTAGTAATTAGCCAGAGTGAAAAGTTTATGAATTAAATTCATCCTCAGTCTACAGTAACGTATGTCACTTCAATAACACAGTATCAGGGATGAATTACTGCTTTTATTACAGTATTCACATTAAATTAAAACCCTCAATCTTCATAATAATTCCTTAGCATAAAATATGAATGAAAGGGAATATTTTATTTTATCAAACAAAATAGTAAGAAATCTCATTAATCAGAATCATGAAAAATTTAATGAACATAGGTTTCTGTTTGTAATAAGGATATCCTAAACCTCCTGCCCTACCAGCTCTCATTCTTTAATTCCACCTCTGCCTTCCCACAGCCTGCTATATTTCCTTCTGATGCTGTTTGCTATATTCCTTTTTTCCAGGAATCCTTTTTTTTCCAGCATCTTTTCTACAAAGCCTCCATCACTTTAAAAAGACCACTTTACCTTCTCCTACTGAAATGCTGATCATCATTAGACCAAATTCTTGTAAACTCATAAAGGTATTTAGACAGCCTAGTTGATAGGCAACCAACTTTAACAGACCAGAGCTCATATCTGATGTCTCTAGGATAGAGTTTTTTCTCTTAGGGTGAACACATATGTCTATCTAAACAGAAATACTCTTCCACTTACAAACAGCATAAACCCTCCATTTTTTGAAAGCATCTTCTTTTATCTCATTCATATATACAGCATGAATAAAGATATTAGTGATATTGCATTCCAAATATCTACTGAAAGAGATTAAAAGGGAGATACAACGTCCAACCTTTTCTTTGTGGGAGTGCTCTCAGTTGGTTTCTTCTCTTGCTGATTTGAAGGGGGTGCACCAGGTGGATTTGTTTTCTTGCCCATTAGTGGAACGGCTTCTTTGTTATCTTTAATCATGTTTCTGCAGTAAGCAGAATCGTGGTTACTTAATACTTCAAGAAAGTATAGGGACCAAGTTACCAATTTACAATCTCTTCACAAGTAAGCATACAACTCATGATCTTCTTATCAAAGTTTTTCATTTTTCAGTTATTAGGCACATACATATCATTTTATGTGTCAAGGCTGGAGGGTTATGGTCAAGATTGTTTAAATTACATTCTAAGAAAAGGGCCATTAAGAGTGATCCCATAAATCCAGGAGAATTGTAACTTCAAGTATGTGCCTAAGTTAAACTGCAGTGAGTTCATCAATCACAACAACAGTATCTCTGAACAGTGTCCAGCCTGATCTCAGCTAAACAAATGATCCCATGGGTGACATCAAGAACCTCTGTGTGCTGGTAACATTTGTCAACATTTCAGAAAAAAAAAAAAGGAATAAGCCATGGCTGTGCTGTATAGGAACCACCAACACCATGCAACACAAAAAGATGTTAATGCATGTTATCTGCCTAAGAACACTCACAACACAAATTCTGTAAGTAATACTAATAACAATCTTCCTATTTCTCAACATAATGCTCACGGGCATGATTTTAAATCACCAACAATAACCTGAAAGCAAGAAGGTGGATTTAGGATCCTGTAAAATTAATTGAATGTAGAAATAGTAAGTTTTACAAGGTCATGGATCCATTCCCAAGCAGACTGGGGAAGTGCCCTCCATACCCAAGGACAAACTAAACAGATCTGAACATGTATTAAACGTTTTTCCCTTCCTACATCCACTCTTCTTAATGTGACAAAAGTACATACAGATTTTCTAACTCTGTCTCAACATATAGAAGGCAGATTGTGAAGGATGTCTGAAAAGACCTGACAAAAGGGATGAAAAAGAAAGCAGGCATATCACAGCCTTAACTTGAATGTGTTAGGCATTGTGATACCTGACATAAATCACATACAAGAATACTAGAATGAGATGGAAATGGGCATCAAACAGCTTTAAAAAGATATTTTAGAGGAAGAGAAATGTTGGAAACAGACCAATAGGTCAAAAAATGTGTCAGCAAAAGCAATTTTGATTTGAGAAAAACACAGTTGGTACATGTGTGAAAGTTAGAGGGGTCACAGAGTGGTCACAGAGCTGGAAAAAGCAAAGGCTAAGGTTAAAATCTGTAAAGTACATAATGGACACAGGGAAGAGCTTTTAATTTGTGAGCAATGCTAGAGCTGTTGCACATTTCTGCATGGGACACCCACAGGGGGAGTATGTCAAAAGCCCCACCTGCAGGCAATTGTCATTGCAGACATTTTAGCACTGTCTTGAGAGCAGGAAACATTTAAGAGAGGTGAAAGTAATCAAAGATAACACTGAACCTTCAATCTGTGATGGAACATTATTGAACCACCCGTGATTTAAGGGAAGAGTTTGAAGAGGAAAAAGAGGAACAGTTCACTTCTGTGTATTTTTGTCATTTTATATAGTATTTTCAAATCCACATTTAAGATCTGATAGAGACTATTTCGGATGAGATGTCAGAGTCTGCACAAGTAAATAATTGCAGGCATAACAGTAAAAGTAACCTCCTGCAGTGCTGAAGTAGTGTCTGCTCCTCATTTTTAATCACTATTAATTGCAAACCCAGATGAAAATTAAGCCCAGGCTTTTGACTGTATCACTTACTGAACTCAGTTCTTATTTTAGGTACATTCATACAAATGTCATGAAAATAAATGGAGCTTTTTTAGGCTTATCAGCTTCTTCCTCCCTCTGTCTTGTTAATTTAATGACTAACTGCTTTCATCATCACCTTCCCGTGCACTATCATTTTATGTAATCTATGACATACTGAGAAAAATATTGGAATAGTCTGGAGAATGCAAAATCATAATTATTACAGTCCATGTAACCTGATATGGAGTGTCATCTTTAGTTGTAACTATTTTTGAGTCTCGTTATCTATTTAATTGTTACATGCCATCAGAGAGGTGCTTTATTTGAAGTGGGCAGTGAGACAAAAATACTGTGTTGATTTATAGTATTAAGAATTACTTTGGAGGAGAATCTGAGGATGCTGTGGATGTAGTATCTCACCTCCAGTGTGGCAGGGAGAAGAGAGAAGTGCATTTGTCTGCAATGGTGAATGGGACAAGATTTTACAGAATGAACCATTTCACACAATATCACAGACCCACCTTTCACTTATCTGAGAAAAATCATACATATTTATACCTCAACAGATCAATGACACTATAAACATTTATCTCTGGGATTATCATGGGACAAAGGTCTTCTCCCTCAGTGACAGAGGAGAGGTGGTGACCACCGAGAGATGTTTCATTCACGGGATCCTTTGAACACCCACAGCACAGCTGATTCTTACTAACTCATAAAAGAATCCTCTCCCCCAGAGGAAAGATGATAAAAATTCCATTTTACTTTTGTGCATTATTTATGGTACGTATATCCAATCAGCAGAAAGTCACATTTGATAGAAAGAGTTTAGTCTTCTTGTAAGATTTTCAATCTTTTGAAGGGCTGTGGTAGACATCAGGCACTACGAAAATGTCATTTTCTTCTTGGGGAGAAATATATTATTTTACTACGAAAGTTTTTTCTACTCAAAATACTAAAAGTCTCTGTGAAAAGCACTGTTTTTCTGTGAGGAAAATGCTTTAAAATTATTTTCCTGCTTATCTCCAAACTGAATAAAAAGAGGACATTTTAGAGAATTGAAATAAAGACTATTCTATCATGCCAGCTATTCTGCCTTTGACAGTTACTACAGTGAGTGAACCTCCCATTAGAAGGAAAAAATATTTTTAACTTCAGCCTGTCTGCCAGTATATTTTGGATCTCCTCAGCACAGAAATCAGAAAGTGTCACAGTGCATCAAGCAGAGAAATATAAATGAAATAAGCTGTATCTTAAATTCTGAATGCCTCTGAGTCAGTGTGGCTCACCTTGGGAGAAAGACAGATTAATAAATTAGAAAAACAGCAACAACCACAACAGCGTTCTCCGGTTGAAAGCTAGGCTTAGTGAGGATAGCTTAGAAGATTTCATTCTCTGGAAAAGCATCACACCTACTCCAAACACCCACAGAGCTCTCACAGAACTTACCCTGTTTACAAAACCTGCATGGCAGAGTTGAGAAGGCGCCTCCAGATTGTACGGATGAAGCTCAGATTTGGGGCCCGCTGATGTTTTGACAACATCCAACAAAAGGAATCTTCCAAATGAGTAAAACTGTATTCGGGGTCAAAATGATTCTAAAAATGCACAAAGCCCCTTCTTCAGTCATCAGGTTTGCTTGGCTGTTGGAAAGCACAGATAAGCACAGCACTGGAGCGCTGAAGCCTTACAGGGTTTCTTACATCTGAAATTAGGAAGCAGAGAGAAACTTGCTAGACAACAAACTCTTTACTTCACAGCTGCCAAAGTGGGATGACACACACGCAATAATTATATACTAAATTATTACTAAAGCTGAGTCGCTCACGGATGACTTAATGGTAGCAGTAGAATATCTAAAATGATCACAGCACTCTGCAGTTTACATTCTGTATTCAAAAGAAAATGGTTATGCACACCCATTTGGGTTGTAAATGACATCCCTTTATGTCGTGCTTAGTTTATTATATATTATGGAACTATTCAGAGAGCACAAAGCAAAAATGAGAAAACAATCATGATAAGTGCTCCAGAAAGCAAATATTTTTGCTATTACTATGAAAAAATAGAAATGGGTTCAGAAAATCAGCAATAATATCAGTGAAAACATGGTGGGTGTGTTTAGATCTTTCCCTGTCTGCATGTTTTCTGATGAATGTGTACCCTTAGGGTCTGTGAGGATACAACACGTCTGTGTTTCACAGAAACAGCACTGATGTGACTTCTCACTATGCCAACTACAGGGAATGGTTTTCCAGCTCTGCTGGTTTTGAGCTGTTAAGCAATGGTTGCTGCACACTTCTTTTTTGGGACACGCCAGAAAAGGAACCATAAGTTCTTCTGCTCTCCCTACAGAGTCTTGCAATTACCAGTGTAAATGGTGCACTTAAAACCTGCATGTTTTTGCAATGAAGCCTAAAAGAAACTCAGAACTCAAGTTTCTTTCCTTCACTTGATTAATAAATGGGAGTTCAAGGAGAAAAATGCAAGGCAGAAAAACAAAAATATTTCTCCACTGTGAAAAAAGGGAAGAAAGAGTCATGTTTGAGGAAGCTGGAAATGAAAACATGAAATACCTTCAGGAAGTTCAGATTTAGAACAGGCATTCGAATCAGAACAGAATGACTCTAAAATGCATCTACAAACTGTAGGTGAACTCCTTTGATTCAAGCAGATCACCTTAAAGAACAGGACTGCTGGGTTTTATCTTTACATCACATCAAGGTCAGCCCTTTGGTGTGAAATACCAGGAATGCTACGTTGTTTCTGGTAATGAATCAGCTTCCACAGAACAGCACAGAGAAAAGGTTCATGCCTACACCAGTTCCATTTGGCATTAGGAGAGCTTTGGTCGGATGAGCCAAGCACACATCCAGCTCTGCCTGACACAAACTGATGATGATATATTCCAAGCCTTGCACTGGGCAAAGCTGTTCACACCTTGTCAAATGACTGCCTAAGCTAATATGCTGCAGTCTAGAGTCAGTTGCTTTGATGGTCTCCTAGCTGCTGATCTAACCACTCAAGAACTGAATAATGGCATTTAATCTTGCCTGGAAGAACACTGGCTTTGTTCTCCACACTAACGACGAGAAACTGTTTAATTGCAGTCACTCTGAGGCTGGAGTATTGCATGTGAAAAAATGCAAAGTTAGATTAAATCTGGGTGAAAGTGCATTTAAGGACTCTTGCTTTAACTCTCCTAAAAACCACAGTAGAAAGGCAATTAAATTCCTTTGCAAAGAAGGGAAAATAAGTTCAGCAGCAAGCTGTACTTTGAACTTAGAAAGCAGCTATATCTGAAAGTACCCAGCACACAGGACCTATCAGTGTGGTCTATTTACAATGTCGTGGCAGTTAGCCAAAAAGAAAAATGGGGACAAGCTACAGCAGGAGCCAGATCTTTGTATCAAATCTGACTATAAAAAGTAGAGAAGATTGTGAGAGCTCTAACAATTCACATGCCCAAGAATTACACTTCAGCTTGCCTGATATGTGTTAACAGCTTCTCCCTCCATTATGAGGTCATTAAGTTAGCAGTGTGGCCTTTTCTGTGCAATTGCCAGATTTAGAAGACATGTGGACAGATTATTCCTAGCTAGTCTTCCTGAAAACAGGTAAAAACACCATGTGCTGCACATGGGTGTTCTGAGCCTGAACAGAGCAGCTTTAAGGGCGGACTTAAGAGTCAGGAAATAAGAAGCACAACTTCAGTAAGTCATATCTGTGCAACCATTTTCTTATAGTTTTAATCATTAACCCACTCAGCCTTTAAGTTCCCAGACCTGTTCCACTCATTTCTTACAAGCCACGAAGGATTTTGCAATAGGCTGCATCATGACTGTGCAGACCACTTTATAGTTTCACATCAGCTACCAGCTGTCTCACTTACTTAAAGAAACTCCATAAAGACACTCCATTATAAACTAGACACGCATCTCCTATGAAAAATGACTTGAAAACATTAGCTTTGGAAGGTGTGCACAGCACCAACAAGCAGCAGATGCCCTATCTGGCATTCATCATCTTGTTTTTCTAGCAACTGCTAGACTCACTAGAAACTAAACTGAACAAGATGAAGGAAGCCCCAGATGGGAGGGATTGAGGATTTGGAGATCCGCCATCTGACATCAGCAAACTGCATTTTCTGTTCTGCTGACATGTGACATGATCTGAGCCAAACCTGCATTAAGAAACTGTTCTGATTTCACGTTTAATTCTGTGAATCTCAGCACTCTATCTGATAATCACTGGGAGGAAAAGCCATTGTCTAAAAAACATTCTTAACATTAACAGGCAACAGCATGGATAACTGTAAATTACTTATTGTCAGTATTCCATTCCCCAACATCCTTAAAAGTTTAAGTATTACAGCACTGTGCACATCAACTACCAGTAGCAGCCCAGTTCCCCTGAGCACAGGATTTGATTCATAAGGGTCTCTCATGACTTTATGGAAAAAATGCTCCTAAATTCCCTTTGTTTCTGTGGAAAAGAATTCAGCACTATCGGTGTGTTGTGGGAAGGCTCCACGAGGTATCCCACAGACTGTGCTTTTAAGAGAATGTATATGTATTTAATACTGAAGAACCACATGAAGAGCACTTCTGTAGGGTATGCTAAAAAGGAGAAGATACTATCACTTTCCCACAGATTTTCCAGCTAACTTTTAACCAGATGAAGAGACAGAAAAGAGTAATAGGAAAGTCACAACAGCATGGTCATATTGATACTCTAAACAGAATTCAGACCAACTCAACCCAACACGTAACAGTTGACTGAAAACTTTCAAAGCAAAAACTTTACTCGGCTGTTCTGAGCCTCAGAGTCCCAACTAGGTCAAGGTTAGTCTCCAGCTATTTCAGAGTGAGTTTTTATCCTCAGTCAATCTTCAGTTGTGGTGCACGGTTTCTGGTAACACTAAACAGCACTGAGGAATTAAGCAATATGAAAATGCCCCAAGGAATACACTGTGAACAAAGCACGCCCCACCTTGTGCTACAGTTTTTTTACTCAAGTCTGTTCTGCTGCTGCTTGACTCAAGTAGCCTTTAGGGGCTCACCACCAAAGCTGAAGAGGAACAGAAACGTTATAATAATTTTAGGTTGAACTGTTGTTTGGCTGTTTGATGCTTCAGTCAAAGGAGCATCAAAACTCCTCATTTAAAAGGAAAGTATTTTAATTGGTTTCACTCGTCTAAGTCTGGGGAACAGTTCTTTCCCTCTCCAAAGATCTAGTTAAAGCTGTATAAAAATAATATGAGGAGAACAAAAATTCACCCACTCTCAGGTCTTCCACTGAGAGCTAAACCTCGCGTCACCTGTAGTGCTTGCATCAGATACTCACTGACTACAACAAAATGAAGTCCCTGCAGGCCCCTTTCACTTACTCTCAAGCTGTTCCCGGGAAATAAGTGAAGAAGAATTCAAGGAGAACATTGAACAATTGAAATAAACTTCAAAAATAAGAGAGCTAAAACATGCATGTCCCATATTGCTGCAGTCAGGATGGCACTGCATGTATTTGTACACGTGAGCTGAATTTTGAATCTTCTAGTGTTTCCAAAGGGAGTTCTCTGAGCAGATACTCATCATACGTGCCCCATGGACAGATTATCTTTCCAGGATACATTTTCCTGTCTCAATTTCAACTATTATTCTCATTAAAATATCTTTGATTATGCAGATTGTGTCCCCTTTGTCAGTGCTTCCATTTTCTGTCATACAGACCCTAGCTAAGATACAGATGTTCCATTTGTCATTGCAAATCAGCCTCTTGAGAACCCTCTATCCATTTCCAGCCCTAAATTTCACTATTCTGAATCTTGCTGTTAATGAGGGACATTGGCTTTCCTGTGTCTTTCTCTACGCCAATTAAACACTCCTGTCTTTCAGAAACTGAGGACACAATCCCTTTTCCCTGGGCGGTTCATTATCCACTCTCCTTTGGAATAAGAGGAATTGTCTCTGAGCTACACCTACTATACCACCTTGGAAAGAAATGACTTCCACTTGATGACATTGCTTAAAACTGCTCTTACTGGCTGAGTGAGTAGGACACACTTCCTGTCACTGGGAATTGCTCTCCTTGGCTGCTCCACAGTTGGCTGACATGGCAATTCCAGGTGACATGACCTTTCATGTCAACATTCAGGTGACTAAACTGTTCAGGAAGGCTGATTAAAACAATGACAGACAAGTACAATTTTGGTTGATGACGGACTCTGAAAACCTCAGTGATTTTGTAAATATTCATGTCTCTTCATACCCTCTCATTGCCAGCAAACTGAAACAGGAAGCATTACTAATATTGATGTAGCTCTGCCACAGTATCACAAACACACCAGAAAGGCAGAAGTCTCATGAGATCATTTGGTTGATTCCCCTTCCTTCCCAAAAAAATAGTGTACTCTCCACCATCTACCCTGAAGAGTGTTATACAGCTTAACATCTGATGAAATTGGATACATATTTTCTCCGTGGAAACTATTCCAGAGTCAGAAGTAATTCCAGCCTGCATGGTGTGGGTGATGCGAAGCACTTCAGAACTCTGTAACCACATCATAAGACCCAGAATGCTCACGCTGTACATGGCAGCATTGATTAAGACATATTCCTTCCAGGCCCTAGTACATCTTTGCCTATTGCCTAACAGAGCAAGAAAGACTCATAAGTACCTTCATTCTCACAAATGTTTGCCACAGAAGGACAGTGGGATTACCTGGCTTTTGGCAAAGAGAAATATGATCCTGCATGATGAACGTGATTGGGGGCAGTATAGTAGGATAGTGGTGTCAGAGTAAGAAGGGTTTTCCTGGGGCAATTCAGCTATGGGGACTGGGTAGCATCTCTGCACACAGCGTGGGGGCCCTCTGGTGGGCTGTGCAGTCTCCCATGGAGCCCACCAAAAACTGACAATGCGCTGCCTGAGAAGGGATTAACATTGGTGTTTAATTAGGACATGGGATGGCTACAATGCCAGCTGTTGCAGAGGGCACAGTAAGTACATAATACAGGTTATGTGGCTCCATATTTTTCAGATAATATATATACTTTCCTCAAATAATTCAGAAATTATTGGAATTTGAAAGATGCAGCAGCTTATGTGACCTAAACAAAAGTTGCATCTCAGGTATGGCAGTGCTGTAGCATACTGAGATCAACATTTGGCTTTTACACATGTTAATCAGCCCATTTTCAATTCCTTGTAAAGTGAAGCCCAACTCACCTTAGATGAACTCGCTTCTTGCTGTCTCCCATCATATGCACATTTACACTCATTATTTACACTTACTGCTAATTACAGTCACAGACATTTGAGGTGAACACATCAACTCCATTTCCTTTGTTTTTGAGCCAGCATAGAACTGAACCTCCACCCCAAAAATAGAAATAAAGATTAATTTATCGTAAAGCCATGCTCCTTGTCAGCCAGTGGAATTGTCTAGCAGTACCAACAGCAGTGTCCTGGTCCTAGCAAAGCTGTTCTTAAAGCACAAACACTTCCTGACAAGCTACCTTTCTTTCCTAGGGGTTAGTCACAGCCCTCCACTAAGGCTTTGTGTTCCTCATCTCTTCAGAACCAGCGTGTCCCTGTAGGCATCCCATCCAGTCTGCCTTAACAGAGACGCACCTTCATTTTCAAAGCACTTCTATGCATTTAGATGGAATGAAGATGAAGGAAGTGAACTGTGGCAGAGCCATGGTTAGCTGACTCTAAATGAATGTGGATGACACCAGGTTAGAGACCCTGCTAGGCTATATTGCCCCAGCTGTGGGAAACAAACTCCTGCCTGCAGCAGTAATCGAGTGGTGATACAGCTAGAAATTCTGATAGGTTAGTAATAACTTAGTTGAGAAAAATGAGATTTTTCTTTTTTGCTTCCAAAAAAAGGCTAAGGGTTTAAAAAAAAAAAAAAAAAGCAACCAAAAGCCACCAGCACCACTCTATCCCACAAATACATGACATATACATTTTCATTATATAGATGTGTGTTTTCACTCCGCATTTCAATTTTTTTTAATAAAAAGTCCCCTGCACTCCCTGTAATCTTGCTGGGGCAGAAAAGGACAGGAAGGCACAGGCCAACCTTCTGTTTAGATTACCCATGGAAGTGAATAAATCCTTCTGGATAGGCACTTGATATAAATCAAGGTGGAACTTAACCACTAAGAGTAGGTCTCTATACATGCAGATAATTATGACAAATGGATCCCTCACAGAGAATACAGAAACTTCATAAATGCTTTCCAGCTACATTACGTTCCCTGTGTGCATTCAAGTATAAATTTGCTTTGGCACATAAAGGCATGGAGACAATGACCTGTATTTTTTCTGGTTGGCCCCTTTCTACATTTATTATTAATGGCTGGAGTTTCACTGCCTCAGCCTGTCTTGTTTACTTAGCTGTATTTGTTTTACATACAGACAGTCTCTTACTATTTTCAGTAAGGAACATAAGGATGTCTTGACTGGAACCTCTAGAGACTGCTAACAGAAATTCAGAGAAACACCTTTAGAGAGGTATGACATTCAACATCCCTACTTCGAACACCTTTTGTAGTCTCCCTGTTCATAAGATACAAAGCTTGTTTAAATTTTTATTTTTGTTAAATAATTATTTCAAATTCATTGGCAAGTTTCTGTGGCTATACTCTGCAAAACTCTATGAAAAAAGTAGTATTTGTCCTGAGTGATTTGGTTAACAGAAGGATCAAGAATTAATACCCCTCTAGATGGTGCTACTATTTCAAATAAGCTTGCAAACTTCACTGAAGTCTATCTACAGTAACCTATGAGAAAGCAGCACTGAGAGAAGACCTGATCTCAGTAAAAGAACTAACCAGAAACAACATAGAGTTCATCTGACAGTGTTTGCAGTGGAAAAAAGTAAATATAATTGTAATTATATAATTAGTCAGTAAATATATTTGCTTCTGTCAGTAAATATAATTGCTTCTTTTTAAGAGCAGTGAATGCCTCCATATTGCACTGCTGCAGAAAAAAAAATTAAGATGTATTAATGAAAATTATCTTTCAAAGGCTGGCACAATTTTCTCTCTGAATTCCAGTTTTCTCAATAATTTGCTACTCATCTATCTAGCATATCACTTTAGAACAGATGCATTTTGAACACAACCACAGAAACAAAACACAAGCTCAAATTGAAACTTGTTGGCTTAAGGATACTTGTATATGCATACTGTATTTGCATATTAGAGGCTGTTAGGTATATGGGCTTTAGTGATACATAGAAAGGAAAGAAGGTAATTTACCTTTTCTTGCCCATCACAGCTGCACAGATCCAGCACTGGATCATTGGGTTAGTTCTTTATCACAGATTTTCTCATCCTTCCTTTCTGACCAGCTACTTTCCTTTCATTGCTGTTAAAGTCAAGAACAAAAACTTTGATTTCAAAATAATTACTGTTATTCACCTCTGACCTTTGAAACATACAGTCTATATAGCCATTCTCTCTTAGTTTATGCAAAGTTCATCTGTTATCTAAATAAATGTCAATTCTGGGATCTTGTTAAGCATTCAGCCTCAGTAACAGTAACTGTATGTTCTGGAGTTTACTCAGACTCTGTAAGAGAAACAGTTCGTTCATTCTGACTACTCAATCTTTAAAATTTCAGAGTGTATTTGTTCTTGTGTTATGAGAAAGGCTAACAACATCTTTAGATGATTCATCACTTACCATTCTTTCACTGTGTCCCCATTTATCTCCTTTCCAAGAAACATTCTTCACAGCAACCTACCTTTGGTCTCTTGGTAATTTTTACTGCTCTTATCCGTTTCCATTATAACACAGTTAGGTGGTTTTCAAGGCTGAAAAGTCAGGAAAACAGGGCCAGTAGCTGCTCAGACAAACACTTGTTAAAAGAATCTAAAAGCAGACATAGGTGGTAAGTGATAACCTTTTCTCTACAGGCCTTTTTGTTATTTTCATATTATCAATGGAATATTCACCATTACTGGCCACTTACACCAATCTGCAAAACATAGTGAAGGATCTGTAAGCTAACAATGAGAATGTGAACTCAGACCTCAAAAATGCATGAGAGCACTTACAAAGAGTGAAAGAAGTGAAAACTGGGAAAAAATCTGCAGCAAAAAACAGCTCACTACCATACTGGCAGTTCTGAATTGTAGGAAATTCTCAGTGTATTTAATGTAAAGCAAAGCAAAAGAAAGCAAACCCACACCACACTATAAAAATTGTCTAACACTTTGTAAGTCAGCCTACACGCAAATATCTAGCCAAGTAAATATAAACCAAGCAGTAAGTACATACTTTCTTTCAGATTTATATTAAAAATAACCATGAAGACATGAGTTTAAACAATGAGTAGTTTATTCAAGATACTTAATGAATCCTTGCACACAGTCATTTCTTAACTTCTTTGGCCTTTTTCCATAAATCCCTATTCTTATAAAGGAAGTATTTTAATTGTCCTCCTTGTAAGAACCAACAGAAACAATGGGAATTAGCCTTCTTCTTAAAAACAAAAGAAGATCAGACTGACTTTGGAAGTGATTCCTTCAATGTCTCACAATCCTCTGGCTCATAATAAGGTTCCAAAATGGGTTTTAGTTTGATTTCTTCTGGAAGTTTTTGTGTTTCCTCTCTCCTGCTTCCATCTCTTAAAAGTGGAACCAAAGTTTTCCAGTTTTTCCCTGAAACTAAAAAGGAAAAAAAAAAAAAGGTTAATTTCTTCTCCACACAAACAGAAATATAGAAGTGGTTTGAACAGGAAGCTGATGCAAGAAGAAAGAAGCAGGAAGAAAGGGCTTTGTGGAATTTTTTCCACATTCTGTTTTCCATACTTCAGCTGGAAAGCACAGCAGATTGTCTTAAATAACTCTGTGCTGGATGCTGGATTCCCAAGGAAGCTTCCTGAAGAAGCCATATTTGTGGCCTTCAAAGTAGCTTTTTGGCTATGTGGTTGCCAACATACACTGTCACAAGCCCTCAGGATTTGCACATATTATCTGCCTTATAAAATCAACAGTCAGAATGCCAAATCTGTAGGGTTTTTCTTCCAGAGAATCAAACTGCTATGCGAATAATAAGCCCACATAGTCCTACGTTTTGTCGTTGATTTAAATAGACATAAACTTAGCTTCCACCATTATACTTAAATGTATAAACAGATTACCCTCTAACAAACAATCTGTACTGCTTCTATCATTAGAATCTAGGTCCCTGAAACCCTCACCTCTACCAGGCTTAATAGAGTAACTGGGATTTCGTTTGAGGTCCCCAGAGCACCCAGGATCTTCGTTGATTATGCCCAAATTAGTATTCCACGTGGACCAGTTCACTTCATCAACTCTGGGGAAAGAACAACAAAAACAATATCTATTCTAAGCATTAAGAGAGAACCCCAGGATGAGTTTATATCACCTACTGCCACCTCTCAAGCCACAGATCTGACCCAGAAAATAGATTAAACTGACTACTGTAGTATGGCACTTGTCAGAGGAGTGCTCCAAGGGGACAGTTCTTCTTCCCATCATCCATTATCAAATACTTAATGCTGTTTGTCTATAAAAGATTGCTCATTTGACATACAAGCAGGTTACCTAAAGCACCATCTGTAATCATCTTGGCCATCAGGTGTGATCCCCACCAAGACTTGCTTTCCAGATCGGAACGAGCGTCTCAAACAGTTCAAGTAGCTGTTTTCAATATCCAAAATTGTGATGGCTCTCTAACAGGGAAAACAAAGCAGACAACTAAAAACCTGCTGTTTCAGTCATGCAAATCCTGAATTCTGCCTTTAATTAGAAAAAGAGCTTTTATTGTTATCACCACCTTAAAGCATGCATTAGACCCATCTATGAAACATCACCTCTGTTAGCAAGACATTTAAATGCTCCACAACCTCCATCTTGGATAGCCTCGCAGAACCAAGATACCTGGAGTTTCCAGATGCTCTTGCTCTCCTGTGCAATTTTGCTCACAGTTTCTCCCATCAGTGCAATAAGCATATTGAGCAGGAGGATGTATGTAAGGATGACATAGAGAACCAGAAGGATGACAAACACAGACTTGAACCTGTAGTTCTCTGTAAACTCCAGGTCTCCCATCCCAATAGTGAACTTGAAAAGTTCCAAGCAGGTATAATACAGACTGTTATAGGATGTGCGGCCTCGTTTTGTATGGCTGCATCGAGCATATTCAGAGCTATTTGTGTCCTGCCCCTCATTGTCATCTTCAATTAAAGTCACCACAGCTGTAGCAAAAGAAGAATCACACAGAAGATGAAAATATAATTTGAGAACATAAATCTATTGCAAGCAATAAAAATGAGCATAAAAATATCAGATAAGACAAAATATTTTCATGGCATCTCATCCCCAATAAAACTGCTCTATGAAATAGTCCCCATAACTGTCACATTTCAGTAAGTGTTGTCTCAGGTTTGTCTATGTAGAACAGGATGACTATTTATCCATTCAGCTTTGTTAAGCAGTCTGAGACCCAGGGATGAAAAGCAGTTATACAAATAGTTGTTATTCTGAAAAGACTTTTGTAACAAGATTGATTTGTTAGTTTTTCTTTGAAAATAAAAATGCTAAGTCAACTGAAAAATATAATTTCTGAGATTCTTTAAGATAACAAGAAAAATAACTCCAAGTTTGATATTACCTGTGGAAAATCCCAAGAGGAATACTAGATAGACAAACATGAAGCGACATAAGTCTCTTAGGATCATCTGTAACACAGAAATGGAACATTTTTCTACTGCAAAACCTTGAATATAAACTGCAACAAAAGTTGGTAGAAAATATTCCTCCAGTTCCAGAAGGCAACTGCTGTAAAGTGGCTGCTCATGCATTAAGCTGTTGTTTATCCTGCCAAGATGACCAACTTTAATACAGAAAACATTTTCCTCTGTTATTCAAGCAATAGTTTACATACGTGTGCAAGATATACGCTTAACAAATAGTTTCATCTTTGTGAATATAAATCACGTTAAGATCATTGCCTCTTTCTTCCCCTCTTGGACTAGCTGGTTACATCACACACTGAGGTTTATTAGCCAGTTACTGCCTCCCACTTAATTGCTCTGTTTGGTAACATGTAAACTATTCCTAAGGAAATTTCCAGCTGGCAGAATGTTGTGCTATTTCACACCAGATGAGCTCTGTACTGTTCTCAGTCAACTTACATCCACATCTATCCATTTGTAGAGTTACTTTGTAGCATAACAGTAACAGAAGGTATCAAGACTGCTATAAAATGCATGGATGTGGAACAGGTGCTTTTTTCTATGACTTAAAAAGTGTATCTCTTTGCTCAGAAAATAAAAGTTGAGTGTGGTTGTCTGACGGGCTTTCCCAATGGCATCACGAAAGTACCTGGTGACTCCACTCCTAGAAACCCAGGTACTGGTGGCAGTTTCCTCTTGTGAGCACTCTGCTGGCCTCACCACCCACCCACTATACTGACCTTCGCAATCATGACAGAGTAAATGCCCATCTGCTGGAAGCCACGGGTGTAGTATAGCATGTTAGCCCAGCCCAGAGCCAAGGAGAAGACCATGGAAGCCACATACAGTTCCTGGCCACAGAAGTACAGCACCACAGAGCTCAGGAGGAGCAAAGAGTGAACAAAGCTGAAAGACAAGTATGTTCTAAATGCAGAGTGCTGAGACAGTCATAGGTGGTATGAACAGAGGAGAAACATGAGACATACAGCATACTAAACACATAGAAGACTTGGCAGACCCTTCCTCTCTTTTCCATTCATTCTTTTCCTTCTCCAATCCTACAATTTCCTTTGCAAACTCCCCAGTTTCCCCACATACAAACTTTCATATACTCTTGCTCTTCATTCTGACTGAAGGGAATGAAAGTCCTTGATGACATATTCATTTCTTTACACATCCCCTCCTTCCACAGACACATGAAATTGCCCATTTTAGCTGCACTTCCCCTAAGAAAACAAAGGGCCCAAATCATGTTAAAGTTTCACTCAGGAATGGGATGATATCTGCATACCCAGTGCACATGCTGCATTGCAAGTCCAACTATGCATCTATTCTTAACTCAGTTGCATGATGCAGTCACTACATTTCTAAATGATTAATCTGCTTTACCTCCAAAGGACATTACTGATCCAGACACACTTGTTGAAGTGCTACAATAGCCACTGGCAAGTATTTTGTAAGGTATCTACCAATTAGAAGTGGTTTAAGCCAAACAGATCTCACACAGTCATCTGCTTCATGCTGAAATACAACCACAGACACAGGCACTTACAAAAGAACTTCACTGTAACTGTCAACTATCAGTGTCTTCAATGATGGCCGCCTCTGCACAAAATACTGTATCTGAAAGAAAGAAGGAAAAAAAAAGAATGAAGACTAAGTTTGTATCCAAGGAGAGAGTATATCCCAAGTGAATGCATCAGCTAAGCCTTGGTTTCTATACCAGGGAGCTGGTACCCATACAACATCTGGTAAGAACAGTTAAAAGAACACTGTTGCAAGGGAGACACTTTGGTGATATGACACTCCCCTTACATCTTGGGCCTCACCTCTTTTGGTGACACCAGTCTATTCAGTTAGTGGTCTGAGGATTTGTGAATCACTATATATTCCCCATTGGTTGCCAAAAGGAAGGTGACTGACTTTAAACTAGACAGCTAAACTTAAATGTAGGCTTGGCTACTTGCAATTCTCCATTCTTACATCTTGGCCAAACAAACTGTTTAGATTCTCAATGACTTCTTAGGTCTCTCTTTGTACAATAGATAAAACTGTACCTTAAATCAAGGGCTTGTTAGCAACCTGATATCTCCTGACTAGGGCAAAGAAAAAGCTTTGCAGCTCTTGATTAAAACATGGTTGAATTGGCAACCAATTCAAAAGGCAGGTTTGGTTCTCACTTGCACTTATAGCAAAAAAGAAAAGTTTCAAATATCTTACCCCTCTGAAAAAAAAATACAGTCCTCCCAATACACTCAGTATCTCTCCAGTCACTCGAAAATATTCCCCAGTGCTGTGACCAAAAGTGAAGGGAGGCTGTGTAAAACAGAACACAGAGATATTCAGCAGAACTAGAGATAGGAAAGACCTGCCCTTGTCAGTGGCTGAAAACAATTACATTTCTGAGGTAACAGGTTAAATTTCTGAATGTGCTGCAGCAAGGGTGCAAGTCTTGCCTGAAAAGCAAATGAGATCAAAGTCTCCCTCCCACCTTCAGGAAAGAAAGAAAACTGACATTAGGAGCACACATGCAAAAGGGAGGCTGCTCTGGGATATCACACACTGAGAGTGACAAAATAACATACATTTTCCCCCTTCTGCACAGGTCTGTAGTAGGCAGCTGTGGTGAGGATGCTGATATGAATTGCATATACAAAGAAGTTGAAGTAAAATAAGTGCTTGACAAACCGGTCCCACTTGTCTTGCAGCAGCCTGTTAAGGGGTTCCACCAGCAGCATCTCGTGACGATTCTGAGTGGAAGGATAAAGAGGAGAAACTTGACAGGTTCTGTATGACTGGCCTTTAAATATAGCAAGTGATACTCAATTTTAGCAAATGTTTCCTCTAATACAAATTGCTGTTTTACAGAAATGACACAAAAGATGTACTGTGTAGAACACAGAGCTCTTCTCCAGCAGTCCCCAGCCTGCAAATAAATGTCAAGGAAGTACATACTTACCGGTGTTTCACTACTGTAGGCAATAATTTCAAGCACTGAATTTTTCTCACATGTGTCTATGCAGGACAGGTCATAAAGAGATGAGTGGACTGGTCCATAAGCCCATTCAGTGAACTTCCTAGACAAGTGTCTGCACTCAGGATCTTTGATCTCTCGTCTGAGGATGTAAGCAAAAATCTAATTGCAAAAGAACAACACAACCAATTTCAGTGCTGGTGGAGTTTCAGTTCCTCAGTATCTTCATAACAGATGAATACTTTCATTTAGATTAACACAGTTTAACTATGCTGAAGTAAATTCACTGGACCATGAAAGAGATTGAAGCCTGAATTAAAAAATACGAATTTTCTCACTCTATGCTGGTGGATGGAAAATGCAGATGTAGAATAAAGTTCATTTCATTACTTTCTACTACATACAATTTGCAATTATCCATGTTTCAAACCTACCAGAGAAATACAGAAATATTTGTTATACATCTGAGCATACAGTCATGATGAATGGAGACTGTCAGATGGTGAGTTCCATCCATCAATCAAAAGTACAGGCCTCTTGTTCAGAAGACAGCAGAAACCCACTTTCTGTTTCCACTTGGGCTGTCTTATATACTGCTAGTATATATGTAATGCCACCTGGGCATGCACACACACTCCTCAAAGGCATTAAGCACTATGCAGTTTTGCATGTTGAACTGCAATATTAATGCCTCTTAATAGAAAGGACTTAGCAATAAGCAGTGATAAAATCTATCCTGCATAAATGTTCCACCTGTACTCTGTATCACGTAGCACAGGAAAGGACACATTTGCTCACCTACCCCTATCTTCCCTGTTTTGGCTGCCAACGTTAATGGAGTCAGCCCTTTTTTGTTGGTGAGTTCTTCCAACTTCAGGATAGGATTTATTTTGGCACCAAGGATCAATATGTTATTGTACATCTTGGTAACAAACTTGGTATTATCCTTAGTATTATCTGCAATCTCCACCAGAGTATGCAGGACCATATTGCCCATGGAGTCCTCAGCAGCAATATCAGCAGCCTGGTAGGGGTTCTCAAGGAGGAATTTCACAATGCAGAGCTGATTGGTGCAGGCAGCCAGGGACAGGGGCAGCTCTCCTATGGATAAGAAACGAGTGGTCAGAATGCCTCATACACATGCATAAACAGAAAAGAGACCATGTTATTTTCAGCTTTCACCATGAGAAGAAGAGGTGGATTTCTCTGTTTAATTCTTGTGATTCAAACAGCTATCACATTTTCTTCAGCTTAACTGCACTACAGAAACATGGCTGCTTATAGAAATACAAAATAAAGACTGGTGGGCGGTTACTATCTCTCAAAAGAAAAGTGCTCAAAAAATAAAAGGATGTAGACAGCAAGATGACAATGAACACCACCAGCTACTAACTGTGTTTCTTTCTAAATTCATCTTTGGGAAGTAAATATCTGGAGTAAGTTTATGACTTTTAAGCCTCCAGTCTCACATAAACAGGATTATTTAACATCTTTCACGTGGGATAATGCTAGGATAATTCATTCAATAAAGCTCATAATGTGCTTAATCCTACCAAAATAAAAACCAGGTTTCCCTTTGATTTTCCTGAAGAACTCCCCACATGCTCTTGCATGAACATCTGCTCCATTCTGGACCAAGAGTTTAACCAGGTACATGTTCCTTCTCTCAATGGCAATGTGGAGTGCAGTCTGGCCTACAGAGACAGAAAGAAATCTTCAATATTTAACACAAACTGAGAGCAGCACAATTCATTCAGTTTCCCATAAGATGGTGAAACTGAGAGCTCTGTAGACTTAAAAAAGCCTCTAGAATTAAACAAAAAAAGATGGCACAAATAGAAAATGGAAGTCCCTTGAACTTGCTGTTAAATCACTCTGTCACAAAGGGTGGAATATTGCACCTGTCTAACAAAACAGATCTAGCATGAATGCACTGGTTGTTAATCACACACTGCAACTTTGGGGCACTGCCTCCTCAAGCATAACACCTCACACAGAAGACTGAGAACCCTGCCTAGCCCTATTTCCAGTCTTATCAGCAAGAGTATTCTTTATTTCAACTATATTCACTGTTTTCTTACCCTTGTAGTAGTTGTCAGTATATTCTGCATTTACAAACTCTTTCAGAGTTCCAGTTTTCTTTGCAATATCCAGCAGCAAGGGAATGGTATCATTTTTCCCATCATGTAGATTCAGCATGGCTTTCAGTAAGCAGGTTTTCCCAGTTTCTGGTTCTATAATGAACAAAATTATAGCTACACAGAAATGTCTAGGAACCTATCATCTACAAACATGCAAGAATTAATGTGGTTCTTTTGAAAAGACAAGAAAATCCAGCCAAAGTTCCACAGAAAACATCAACTTTCCTGCATTCTCATGTGCCTTTCAATCAACGGACTGTCTAATCAATAAGAACTACAGGCTATCAGAGGACCCTCTACAACTAGTTTACATTTAACAATGCTGTTTTGTGCAGGAAGTTTTTATTCCGCGTGTCCCCTCCTACTTCTCTCCCTCCTCCCCCCCCACCCTGCTACACATCTCAGGAGCAGTCTTGGAAGAAGACAAGGGCAACTTTAGGTATGTGACATTATGTGGTACCTTTGAATTCATCATCTGTGAGATGCTTCAAGGTCCTATTAAGATAGAGCAGCAGATCATCCAGGTCCTTTGTGTTGCCTTGGGCTACAGCATCAAAGATCCTTCTGCGGTCATAAAATTTGAAAGCTTTTTCAGAGCAGCCTGTGATGGAATCTGTCGACAGGAGCCTAACAGGGTAAATTTCAGTTACTGAAACCAGGCATTTAGCAGGCTTTTTATAAACTACCATACAACTATTTTTCATTTGTTTGTGTAAAATAGCATGTACTACTAATGAGTACAGATGGATCTCCAAAATGTACAAGATCAATAACATCTGATAGCAACTCTCCTGATAAAATGATGAGTTTGCTGCTCATCTTCAAGGGATGATACTCAATGTTCAAGGGAGGTTGTGGAGTCTCCTTCTCTGGAGATATTCAAGACCCGCCTGGATGCCTACTTGTGCAACCTGGTGTAGGGAACCTGCTTTGGCAGGGGGGTTGGACTCGATGATCTCTGGAGGTCCCTTCCAACCCCTACAATTCTGTGATTCTGTGAAATGTTGAAAGCAAGACTTCAAGTTGCATTGAAGTACAGCAGTCTAACTGCAGGTATGGGATCCAGGCTGTTCCAGGTTCTTATTCTGAGCAATGTCTATTTACTGAGCAGTTTCACGCATGTGAACTAAATCTTATCATTAAGATTCATGGGCTGGATTTTTAGAGATGTCAAGAGATGAGAGCTACTATCAATTTCAAGCCAAATACTCCTTACTTTAGACACCAAAAATAGCAAAACGGAGAAGACAGGCATGCAAACGTGCAATAAATACTGCTTTAAGTAGCACAGCCTACAACTGCCAAAATGTACTCATTTCAACCATATTTTAAAAGGCAAACTTACTTGTGAAGTTTCCCCCTCTCCATATTGGCATGAAATTTGATGACAGAAGGTGCCATCAGGTGATCCATCTGGTAAAAGGAGTCCATTGGAGCCATGTCTTTGTCACTATCCCCCATCACAAACCGTCCACGCCTTGCAAAGATGTTGCTTCTGGATGGCTGCACCTTGCTGCTGAATGCACCCTGGAGGTTGTCAGATGTTTCCAGTGCAGAGTCTTCCCCATCCGTGTGTTCATCTGTCACTTCAGATTCCTCTATGTCAGAACTGCCAAATTTCTTCATCTTCTCAAGAATGGAAGACATGATGAACATGCAGCCTGCAGCAAACCACACAAACACCTCAGGTCAGCATTTTAGAGTGCCACAAGTCCCTTTTTGCCTAGGACCACACTCCAGAAACAGCCGTGAATCAATTGATGTCTCATCTCAGAAATGAAACAGGACACATATTCACTATGCTTAGAGTTTGAGCAGTTTGGTAGGCTGTTACCCCTATGCTGCTGTTTTGGTTTTTTTTGTTTTTTTTTTTTACTGTCTCCACTGCCCCATTCATTTCAGAATAAAGAAAGCAAACAAGAGTGTACCAGAGCTTGCCAGCCACCTCACTGCAAAATCAGTCTGCTTAAAATCAGCCTCATCCTCCTCCAATAATGGTCAAGGCCTGAACTTCAGACCACAAATAATCTCTGCATGTATGTTCTCTTTTCTAACTGATTTGTGCCACAATATATTTTCAGGAGTACATCAAGCCTGTGATGAAAGCCTGATATCTTGTGCTGTAATCATATCTTAATGATCATGAGCAGAGAGGGCTTCCTGTTTATAGGAAGGGTATCACTTAGTGGCTTTACGAGAGTTACAGCAGTGCTAGATGAAAACTGGGGCTTGTAGCTCTTGTGAGATTGGTGTCGCCTCAAACACAAGACTAGGAAATAGAAAAGTTTACCACAGATAAAAGATGACTGTAAGACCACAGGTTTGATCTTGTCTGATTTACAACCACAAAGAGCTTGACACAAGTTAATAAATATGCCATGCTAAAGGTAGAATAGGGATTTTATCTTTCTGCTTTGACCAATTAAATGTTAGTATTCACATCACTGAATGTGAAATATTCTGAAAATCCAGTAATGGAGACAGGAACACATCATACCTGAGCTGCTACATAGCTGGCTTTAAGAGGGAGCTGGATAGCTTTAGAATCAAATTCTGAAATTCTAGATTGCTACAAAATCTTACAGATACAAACACTCTGAACATCAGCATTACAAAATCTTCAAAAGACTTTCAATCATAAACAAATTCCAGTCATCAATAATTATTTCCGTATATTCAGTTTGAATTCAACATAAATAATCTTCAAGGCTGTTTCTCTTCAAAAAAATCTTCTGAGGGATCATCTGCAAACCTACAAGATACACTAAAGCTGCATTCTAACTCATGCATGGCATGAGTTAATATTTACACTAAGAATCACTTACTTTTTCCTTTCCAAGCAGGATGGGAAAGAGACTTCTCAGGCATTTGCATTTCCTACAATTTTCTACAACATACGTGAAAATAAAACATCAATTTGCACATTTAGGGTAACTGGAAGCAAAACAATAAAGTATAGATGAAACACTAAAGACTGCAATTTAAATTGCTGAGTTTTCTGGGCTTACCTTTCAAGTTTCCTGTGTCCCTGTGTCCAATCACCCTGAAAGAATAACCATATTTTATTAACTGTTCTGTAAGTAAGAAGTTATCTATAGAAAAATGTTCTCCCTTGGAACATGATACCAGAATTGCAGAAGAACAAGCACAGCAGGTAAAAAGTTACAAACGTACTTTTATAAAAAATGGAAAATGATAGAGTAGGAATACAGACATGTATGATTTTTAATTTCAGTCTCACTTAAATCAAAGTGGATCAAGCCAAAAAACATCAGGGAGATGGCTATGCAAAATGGAATCATGTATTTTCCACAGAATATATATAATATTAGAATAAGCAGAACAGCCTTAACCTTGTTTTCCTGGCAATTTACTGAAACCTGTCTCAGTTACTTCATGTGCTTCTATTTCTAATGCCCACTGTCAGTATCTTTCATAATGCAGACAAAGCTGTATTTCCTTTTAAGTTTGAATTTGCACTAAAAAAAATAACATTCAAATTGTATAGAAATATTCTTGAAAGAAATATACATCTGGAAAAACACGTAACCCACCGAACTCTTGAAGCCTATGTACATCAAAGCTTGATCTGATAAATAAGGAAACACTTTTTTAGAATTTCTAACTGAATCACAACTTAAGATAAATAATAAAGCGTGCTTACAAATAACTAGCAAGCATACTACTCAAATACATGCACAGAACTTACAAATATTGCAAAAAAAATCCTGTCTTCTGCAAAATAGTCCAGTCTCAGTAAACTCCCTCTGTTCTACAGGAATTTGGTGCCAGAGATTCCTCCTCCTAAGTGCCTGGGCTGCAAAGACTTCAGAGTTTGCTTCTCCACTTCCTTTCTTTGCAAAATCATCCTATGTTCAGATGATTTTTTTTTTTTTTAGAATCAAGAAAAGTTCAGTAGAAGAGGGAATAGAGTAATAAAACCATTAAGAACAGTTCTGGAACCAGAAGCATCAGTAGCTTCTATTCCCAGGAGTTTGGCAAAGCTCTTTACAAGAATCACAGCAAGTTGCTGTTGTTTTTCCCCCACTAATTGCATTTAGTAATGGATACTCTTCTACAGATTTCCTCTTCGTAAATACACTCAAGCTTGCAAAAAAACCCAAACCATCAAACAGCAATTGTTCCTGTGGGTCGCAGCTTCATTTCACTTTATAAAACTTTGTAAAATATGCCACAGCTCTTCTCTGAGACTATTTATCTTTCTGGTCCCTCCTGAGTGACTGCAGCAAAGCCCTACAAAGTATTTCACAGACAAGCTGATTCTGAAGAGAGCTGAGGGAGAACCCAACTGAAAGTCCTAAGGATCATTCCACATTCCTACTATGCTTTATTTAAATAACACCTATGGAACAGTAAGCTTTCAAATAGCATTGTTGTCAGGAAAACAACAGCAATAGCAACAAAATACTGGAATCAAAAATGGATCTAATACCCTTAAAATGAAGAATGTCAAATATTGCTAAACGTACCATTCATATAGGATCTTTCTGTCAGACCAGCCTAAAGAGTTCTTCCAGAAGGTTAAGTCAATAGGCTACAGCTGTCATGCTAGAAAAAACCTCCAGTTCCAACTCTAGAGCTATGGAGTGAGATAATTAAATTATTCAATGAAATTACAGAGCATAGGAGATCTTTCTAGTCCTACCATCTATCCATATGTAAAAGAATAACACATTTGTCTATTCAACAGCAAACTAATTACACTACTTAAAATACCCTGTGGAATCATACACAAATAAAATATAATGCCTGCACATTAATGCATAAATACAGATTACCAATAAACCAGGTTCTTGGCTGGTCCTCCTGGAACTTTGCTGAGCTAAGCATCTGCTTCAGCGTTATGATTAACTCCTTCATTATTTTCAGTGCAGGGCTTAGTAAGAAAACTACATGGAAGGTCTCCCTTACTCAGTCTCTAGTTTCTTGCTTTTCCTAAGTGTTCCTTCTCTCCTCCCATTTCCAGCATCAGCTCTTCTCAGTCTTGCCATGCTCTGATGTATGTACTTTGGGAGCTTTCTGGCATTTTCTGAGTTTTGATGTCTCCCTCATCAGCCTACTTGATTGCTGTTTCCTGTGAAGATGTTACTTCTTTCTTACCAGCAGCCACTCCTTTACTTTCTGCAGTATTTGTCAGAGATGACATATTCTACTTCCACAGGGACCTTCTTGTAGGTCTTTTCCAACCTTGGTGTTTCTGTAATTCTGTGATTTTTAAAAGTTGTAAACTCATCAGAACATGTCAAAGCTGATCAAAAGCAGGAGTAACAAACAAGGAGGAATTTATTCCCTTTTCTTGCGTGTGCATCCCATAGTCTTATATGGTGCCACCAAGCTCCTTAAATAAGATTGAGATCCTCCTCTGGTGTCACGCTGACATATACCATGAGAGACCTTGAGAATAAAAATTCTCCAATGAAAGCATCATGTTATGTTGCTGCATGTTTCTCCTAGTCCTTCCAAACATACTTCCTACCAGGAAAACAAGCCTTGCATGAAGTATCATTTTATGCAGAAAGTTAATGGCTCTTTCCTAGTCATTCAGTCAAATTCAATGTGATGATTACTTCTTCTTTCACAAGTGGGAATTACGGAACAAGGAAATGGAGGACCCTGTGCACACAGAAACAGACATTAAATGCAAGCTGTTGTTTTTTTCAATGTAATGAGCGAGATGGCAGGTCGAATACAACTCCAGAGAAAGCAAGGAAGTGAAAGGAAACAATGAACAGCTAAGAACAAAAATAATATTAAAAAAAAAAAAAGACGACGCATCTCAGGCCATTCCAAACAGTAATTTATTTTCTCTGGAACATCACCATGGCAGCCCCCACAGCAGCATCAACATCTTTCCCATAAACCACAGGGAATGGAAAAATTCTTTCCACTTCCTGCCTCAACACCTCATTCTTGGCAAGAGCACTCCCGCTCCCCAGAACTCTCTTCACTCCTGTCTCCATCAGGCGCTGCACTGGCAACATGGAACAGAGGTTTTCAATGAGGCCGCGGCACACAGCTCTGGTTACGTGGCCCAGGGAGAGCTCAGAGGCAGCAATGCTGGTCACTGAAGCCAACTGCTCAGGAATGTGTCTCTCTCCAAATATGGTTGGGTGGACTGAGAGATGGCTGTCATTTTGGTCCAAGGCTGCTTTGATTATCTTTGCATAGATGGCAGACTCTTGAATCTGAAATCCTACAGATCAGAAATATCACGTTATTACTCTGAAGAGTATATGTTACATGTGGAAACTTAAAATGAATATTGAGCTATTTGTTCAGAAAAATGCTGTATACCTTCTTCCTTTGCATCATAAGTAATTGTTTTTCCAGGATTACGAACTCAGTTCTCTCAATCCAAATTTATCTACTATCATACCAGAAAACCATTTCTGATTTAAGAAATGACTTTTTCTAGTAACACTATTTATCTCTGCCTACATTGTGCAAAGTCACAGAAAACAGCACCTCTTAAAGGCAATAATGGCAGACTTCACACACCATTCAGTCACTGAAGCTGAATGCTGAGTTCACTTCGAGAATTCACTGAAAGAATGATTTCAGAGCTTATTTCTGTACTGTGGAACCCAGGAGATTATAAAAAATAAACAACAACAACGAAAACCAAAGCACCACAACCATAAACACATTTAAAGCACTTAGATGATAATATATGAGTTTAGATCTTAAAATCCATCAGAGTGCTCTAAAATATGCATTAAAAGCAACAGACAAAAATCAAGGGACTCTTTTGGACTGCAGCCATACAAAATCAGAGGCTGTTCTAGAATTTATTGACCTTTCCTTTAAAAAAAAAACAACTTGCAAAAAACATTCTCTTCTGTTCTTAAAACAGAAGAAATCCCCAAATCTAGAAGCAATGTGAATATTGAGCCAAAAGATGACTGTCCAAACACATGCACTAGCTTCCAAAGGAAATTCCAGACATCTAGGAAACATGACCCAGGCACTACATCCTTGTTCCTTATACGGCATGACAAAACAGCCCTAAGCTTGTTCTTTTCCAATAGCTTCTCTTTACCCTGCTGATCAACCACAATTTTAATTACCCTTAAGTTAATTTACCTAGCTCTTCTGTCCACCGTGCCACCATGTTCACAAACGTTGCTAGCACATTGCCCCCATTAAGTGATGCTGCCACTGCCAAGTAGTCACCATCAAAGTAGGGAAAGTAAGTGACAGCTGAGGAAGGATCTGGTGTCTCCGGAGGCTGGAAACCCAAGGGCATTGAGATAGTCAGCTGAGCAGAGGTGCTGATATTGAGAACTAGAGAAAAAAAGAAAAAATTCAGTGTTTCCAGTCCTACTCTGAAGGAGGACAATGAGAAAACCAAGTAAGATATCAGAATGATCGTACCTGCATCAGTTCTTTCAGTCAGACAGGAATAAACAGAGCACTGGAAGTCTCCCAGAGCAATTCCCACTTTTGTTCCCTTGGGTATTCCATGCCATGCACAGATTGTCCTGCCTGCAATACTGCCAGGGTCTCCCACCTCTGGAAGCAAGTGAACAGGAAAGCCAGACTTTTTCAATCTGCAATCAGAACAATATCATTGCAGGAAACAGTATCATTGCTGGATTTACAGATGCTTTCATCTGTTTAGAAAGCTCAGTCCTGTGCAGTGTTCCAGTTCAATAGGTTGAGTGAAGAAGAATAGTCTGGAAGAACAAATAGCTTTTCTTTATACACAAACTGATTACCCGAGATGATAAAGCAATACCTGTGTAAAAAGTCAAACAGACAAGCAGTTCCACACACAAGGGACAATCATAAAAATTCAGCTTTAAATTCTTCAACAGAATTTTGAGCTGTCATGCAGTTAGTGGTTCAAAACCAAATCACAAAGAGTTAAGTCCAACCAACTCCTTACGTAAATAAACTGCAAAGCACACTATTTTGCTACAGCAAAAACAGGAGGTTAGTGAGAATTCAGCATGCCAAATGCAAGTTTCTGACACTCTTTCAAAGTATTACGCACTAATTTACCTTCATGAGAAGATCTTGGAATCCTGGCCTAACCTAAGCCCTGAAATACACACAGCCTTATGGCTTTGCCCTGAGAGAGCAAATCATTAAAAATAGATAAAACCAGTTTCCTGCAAGACTTCCATAGCCTAGAAAACTGTAAGTATTATCACTAATAAATCTCAACAGTTACAAGGGAGCTCAGCTGAAAGAAGTGGACAGTATTAACAGTCTTTTATCATCACAGCCTTAGATGTAGCATTCACTTCTTCATCCCATCCCACCATCACACAACAGAAAGAGAGAACAACTGTGATAAGTCTCTCAGCTGTGCTGTCTTAGGTATTTCTAAAAATACAGTGCCAGATTTTACATAACTCAGACATACACACCTTACAGAACAAGAGCAAACCCAACAGTCCTTCAATACAAGCCACAGCACAACTAAGATCACTCTACTTGTAACACATTCATACTTAGGGCCCAAAATGGAGTGCACTTTACCTGACACAAAGCATAAAACCCACTGATTGACCTTAGCACTTACATGTCAGTATTCCAGCTTTTGTTTCTGGAATTAAAATATCCCCAGCTGGCAGCATTCTGGACAGACATGAGTGGCTTCTTCAAGTCACACAACATGGCAACCACATAGTCATGGATAGTACCAGCTGCATCATAAGACTTCAGAAAGTCTGGACTTTTAAACAAGACATTTTAAAAAGAAAATCAGCAAAGAGAGCTTTTAGACCTTGGAAGCAAGGTTACGTCCAGTGCTACAGTGAACTTCAGATGTATGCAGTCCCATCTCCTAAAAACAAAATAGTAATCTCAGTATCTCAGTGATTAAATTGGATTTGGTGTGCTGTTATTGTTTTCTCTTAGATCATTTTTGCTTGTTTGCTGTTGTGCACATTTTTAATTGGATTTGTTTTCCAAGCTCTTACCACAGCAGCAATACTGCTGGTATTTCTTCATGGAAGATAGAGACAGTGGCACAAGCTGTCTAGGTTTGAAAGAACAATACAGCAAAACATACAAGGAAAATATATATCTTGTATAAATACAAGAATGTCACATTCCAGAGCATTTGAGAAGAATAAGTAAATTCCTGCAATTGCTATAAGATTCACAAACTACACAAATGAATATGTACCAAATAGCGAAACAGAACGGGAACAAATCAAGGACTTTGGGCTCATGAGTTGCACAGCTCTAAAGCAAAGTCATGTCACATCCCAGGTATCTACTGAACATGTGTTGACTGAAAACAACATCTAATAGGTTTGCCTCTGTTTATTTAGCCTCAACTTATGGATGAGGAAGACGTCATCTTTGAGAAACGTAGCATCCTGCAGATGAAATTGAAGACCAAATCCTTCTGGTGCAATGTTGTAAGTGAAAAACTGCATCCTCTGCAAAAATGCCACAACAAAGCAGAGCATCAGAAAACCTCATAGAATCTTGGTGTCTAAAGAAGGAAGGAACTGAAATTAATTTAGGGATTGTTTCTCTAACATCTGGCAGCAACAAGCCAAACCAACTCTGTTACTGTTTTAGGCATATTTGTACTTTCCACAGTCTGCACAACCAAAGTTACAGCATTCAAGCTATTTTAGTAGACCTTCTTTAAGCAGTAGGCTGGACTATAATTATTCTATTTCTACATAGTCAAAAAATTTTCCTTTCATTAAAAAGATCTGCAGTATTTTTAATGAGGTCAGAGAGACTTGCATGCTCAGTTGCACAGTTTATATTAAAAACTGCCATTATAAATACTCTTTGACTACTTAATATTATGATTACAAGCCCCTGAGCTCATTGTTGTATTAACATGCTACAGAAATACTAATTGCCACATAAATTCAAGATGAGAAACCATAAGTGAAACAGCCTGACAGATGCCCTTTTGAGAAACAATGTACCTTTTCTTTAAATACCAGTAGATGGTGGCACACCCAAATCCTGTAGCCAAGCTGATGTGTGACTGTGGCAGAGGAAGAGAAGAGAGGAAGGCAGGACTGCAGCGGCCATCTTGCCAAGTAACCAGATGACTGACTTCCTCTGGCTCAAAGATAGGGCCAGTACCACCCTCTGTCCACTTGCAACCTGAAACACAATGTTTGAGAAGTCCAGTAATTACCAGCAGTACATTCATTGCCTGGCATTCTTCACTTCTGGATGCCTTGACCTTGCCAAATACAATGGAAAAAAAAAGCAGAAACAGTGATATCACCCAAACAGTGATTATAATCAAATTAATTAGTCACAGTTTCAGTCCTACATAACATCGTAATTCCAGTCATCCTCAAAAAATTTTGCATTTCTGCTGAAAGGTAAGAAGCAGATATGACAGCTCTCATATACAAGAGTTGAACTGCCACATCATGACTGAAGAACACAGTATTAGTATGATGGACAGTACATAGTTTCACCCATCTTTTGAGTCAATGCAATTGGAAACCTAGTTCTATATGTATTAAGCAATGGACTGCAAAGTACTCAAGAACACCCCTTTCCAGAGAAGGATTTAATTCAGTTTTATCAGTCTAGCACTTTTTAATTTTTCCAACAGAGATCGTTACACCTTTTGTTAAGCTGTCAGATGTTTCTATGCAAAGGCATCAATTAAATTATGGCAACTTCTCATGGCTGCACAGAGCCTTCTCAGCAACGCCTGCATTGGTCCAGTG